TAGGTCTACAGTGTCATCCATTGGTTTTCACAAAGCCAGTCTAATCTTGGTAATTTTGAAAATAAACTTTATTCTGGAAGACTCTTGGTACATAGATACCAAACTAGGAACAAAATGAGGAAGAGATTTTTTTATAGCAGTCCCTGCCTGGATTCTCTACAGAAGGAAAAGAGAGCAGCTGTTATAGCTATTAGTGAAGTCATTCCATCCCCAATAATGTGTGAGTATTTTCACTGTACAGCACTTGAGGCTGGATGCTAGGTAAATGAGACCCAGTTTTCTCCTTGGAGGGCTCAAATTCAGATGTCAGAAAACACATATTTACTTAAAGTATACCATGGTATGATGAGTGCTACAACAATATCAGAAAGGCTTGTGTACAGCCCTTAGGAGAGAGGAAACTCTCTAGGAGGGTTTAGAAAAGAACAACATCTGTTGTCATGTGCTGACATGGCATGATCTCACCAGAAAGAGTTATTCTAGGAAAAAGCACAAGATGAGATTCCCAAGGGCTGCGGGAAGTGAGAAAGGGGTACCATAGGCCTACGAAGATTCTTTTGCTCACTGGAAGCCCCATGTGGCTTGCTGATCACATACCTGAGAGATTACATGAAGCTATGAGTTATCCAAGAGGAAAACAACTGTGATGTCTCAAGTATCCTCAGGCTGTGAGGGCTGACACTGTCCATCTGGCGTTAGTCGAGGTGTCTAGTTCCATCTCTTTGCAAACAAGGCGGGATGATTTGACCTGTTAGAGAGATTCCTGGCATCGGTGGTGAATCTCCAGAACCTGAGAAAACAACATAAGGTGGGGTAGCAGTTCTCATTTGAGATTGAGATGAAGGTTCTGCCAGCTCTATCCAGGCTGGCTCAAGACCTCACACAAGTGTGAATACCTCCTCAAGAGCAGTTCCCACACATATCTCGATGGTGAATACAGACGAAGCCCTGACATGGTGTCTACAGGTCCTACAATAACCCCCAGGCACATGCTAGTATTCTCTTTATTTTATGCAGAGAAAATTGAAGCTCTATGTTACTTCTTTTAGTGAAATAGTAGCGTTACCCCCTAACCTCCATACCACAGAGATTTGTGGTAATGGACAGCAGAAACCATGTGATAGCATTTCTTGAAACCATTAAACATTCTATAAATGTAAGGTGACTTTATAGTATCTATTACAGTCCCCAGCAGTCACTTCAGCAAAACACCATTACATTAGGTGCTCTATTTTAAGATGAACAAAGTGCTACCTCTGAAAGATGGTCAACTGAACTTTAAAATGACTTTGAGTGTTCCTGTCTAGGAGATTTCCTGGGAGTGAGTTTTTGTTTAAAATAGAAGAAAAACACTCTAGATGAGGTTAAATCATTGACAGGTTTTGAATAACCACCCTTGCTTGGGAAGAAGCTCTTTGGTGGATATTTTGGCAGAGAGGCAGAGTTGTTTATTTTTCTCTGTGCACTATTTATACTTAGACCCCTGTAGCAGTGGAGAGAGCACTGGGCTGAACCTGAGAACCCAATGGAGAGCCTAAGAGAGAGATTCAGGGACAAGTAACACATGATACCCTCAGTCCCAGAGGCCAGAGTAGCCATTCCTGCTGGAGGACTTGCTAGGATGACAACTACAGAATAATGACAGCCTATTCCTGTTGGAGTTCAAAGAAGTGGACAGCTGAAACGTTTGTACTCTGGCTGGAGTTCAGAGATGTGCGCAATATTCTAACTATGTTTCTAGGCTTAGAAATGCTCATTGAGTCACCTGCTTATTGCTCTCCACAATAAAGTTCATTTGTATAATATTCAAGTGTTATACTTGAACCTTGTTTTAAAATTTGTTTTATGTTTATGTATGAAAGTGTTTGTATGTCAGTGTATAACATGTGTGCCTGGTGCCTGCAGAATCCAGAAGAAGGTGTCAGATTCCCTGGAACTGTAGCAACAAATAGTTGTGAGCCACCATGTGGGTGCTCAGAATCAAAACATGGTCCTCTGAAAGAGCAACCTGTGCTCTTAACAACTGAATCATCTCTCCAGCCCACCCCCAGCACCTTTGAATGATGTGTTTGACCTGAAAGATCAGGTACACAGAGTCAGGTGAGAGAGGGGTTCTTATGGTCTGTTGGAATTATCAAGCTATGTGTCACTTGCCCAGGCTGGATCACATGTTTGTGGGAATACCAATTGTATCTTCTTAGTTATTCTTCCAGCACCTGATGTGCCTTTAATGACTGATGCTCGACACCTTTCATGCAAACTTGTACCTGGCATGACCGTTGAATGAATGGAACAGAAAGTGTAATTCTTTAGTCCCAATAATTAAAAGGTTAGATTCAGAAACTCCTAAAACAAACCTTTGTTTCAGAAGAACCCTGGAATCTTTTTTTAATCTCTGGTGTTGGAGGCATGGTCTTGTCATTCTTTGAGGAAGATTCTGTGTTAGTCTTTTTGTGGTACTACAATGAAATACCTTAGGCATCTTTATGGTCTTGTAAGAGTTTTATCTAGCCCCAGTTTTGGAGCATGACTCAGCCCTGGGAAGAGTCTATGACAGAGGTATAGGCATGTGCAGGGCTTACCATGATGCAGAAAGCCAGAGAGAAGCAATTTTGGGGTTGTGTAACAACTTGCTCTTTCCAAACCTCACTGCATGGGACCAATATTCCCTCTGAGAGTAGGATCTCAGTGACCTAGAACTTCTCACTAGGTTGCACTTTTTAAAAGTCCCATGAGTCGCTATGCCCCTAACTATAGACAGCCTCCCAACATAGCAACTCTTAGGGGCAAACTGCACCCAAACAACAGCAGATACCTATCTCTGGTGTTCAGGAAGATGGACACCAATGAATATAAACAGAAAGAACTTTCTAGTTCACTTCCATGTTCAATGAGGAAACTAAACAACCTGCATCTCTCAGTTTGATCTGTCTGTTTACTGTAGTGAGAATACTTGTCATGTACTATACATCACTGTTGACTGTAAGTACTATCATATACAGCAAGCAGAGCTCTAGGTGACAGTCATCCTGCTTGAATGGAGCTCTCTACTTCTATCTCACCACCACAGTTCCTGAAAATCATTATTCTACTGTCTAACTTTATTAACTTGACCATTTTTTGTTTCCCTAATAAGTGGAATGATAAACTATTTGTTTTTCCATGGCATCATTATCCATGTGACATTTAATGCAATGGGGCTAGATGATACTCTAAGGCAAAAAACAACAACAACAACAAAAAAACCAAAGTCCAAGGACTTGGGTCTGGGGCATAAAAGGAGGCTGGTAAAGGGCAGCAGGTACAAGGTGGGTCAGAGAAAGTCCAGGAAAGAATTACAGTCCACTGGCCTGTACTAACAAATGGCACATATAGGTTTTGACTTGCAATATGCAAACTCTTGCATCAAGGAAAGAGAGGTTGATATCTTAGTTAGGGTTTCTATTGCTATGACAAGTCACCATAACCATATAGCAAGCTGGTGAGGAAAGGGTTTATTAGGCTCACACTTCCACATTGTTGTTCATCACTGAAGGAAGTCAGAACAGGAACTCAGCAGGGCAGGATCCTGGAGTCAGGAGCTGATACAGAAGCCATGGAGGGGAGCTGCTTAACGGATTGCTTTCCCTGGCTTGCTTAGCCTGTTTTCTTATAGAACCCAGGATCACCAGCCCAAGGAAAACTCCACCCACAATGGGCTGGACCCTCCCACATTGATCACTATTTGAGAAAATGTCTTACAGCTGGATATCATGGAGGTATTTCCTCAGCTGAGGCTCCTTCCTCTCTGATTACTCTAGCTTGTATCAAGTTGACACACAAAATCAGCACATACAGTTATCTCGAAGTCTACTACTGAGAGATCCAGTTAGCTAAGCCCTGAGAACTGACAGTGTGTTTTCCATGAGAGAGTTATCATTACCCTTACATGATGGACTTTAGTAGACATTACAGTACATGAAAATGCAGAAGGCAGTTTCATTCCAGGTCAAGTTGGGCTTGGGAGCCCAAGGGCCCACCTTCCAGCTCACACACCGCTTCCTAGCCTGGGCTCCTCGTACCTGCAATCTCAAGAACAGTTTGAAAATACAGGTGCAAGTCAACACATTTGTCTGTATTAAAAAATAAGGAGAAGGGGGGAAGGAGGAGGAGGAGAAATAGGTTTAAAAAAGGGAAGGCCTGACTCAAGGCCATTAAACTACCTTGTGAAAAAAAATCAACTTGCAACTTACTACCATTTGATGAAACCTGGGAATAAATTTGTTCCTGCCTATCTTATCCTCTGCTCTTTAAAGGCAATTGTTTTCATGATAAACAGAGAAAGGAAAAAGTCTTTGGCATCTTAGATTTCTGTGAAAAGGAGAGAAGGATAACACAAACAAATTCAATTGATTAAAAACTCTGAGGCCTCACTGGTGGGAATCATTTCCACACTCTTCCCATTTCCCAGGGTTTCCAGTCATTTGCCAAGTTCCATGTTTCCTAATCCTACATATGCTACAGTCTGGAGTATTAATATAGCAATAATCATGACTGCAGTTACCTTTGCTGACCACTGACTTGACTTCTAGAACTGCCCAATGACCTTCCCTGTGCCTCCCTAGGTCAGGCCTAACAAGGACCATTCGTGAGGCATACTTGGACTGTCTCATAAGGTAGTAAAAAGATCAGACCCAGCATGGGAAGGCTCCACTGCATATCCCATTTCAGAATTCACTGATGATGGGAACTGGGCAAGACACACTCTCTTGGGTTTATTTTATAACTGTGTGAATTATATTACAGGCTGCAAATCAGGACACAAGGGTCAGAGCCCACACTAATCAGACACCTGGCTGTGTTCTAGGTACTTCACCATCCCAATCTTACCATCCAACATCTGCCAGTGGGGTGCCCAGTGAGTCTCTGAAGACCCTTTCTCCCCTGCTTTCTGGTTTTAACAAGCCAGATTAAATCCAGGAACTTCAATTAGGCTCATCTTGTCACTGTTTTTGCCTTAGGATCCATGCTCAGTGCCAAAGGAACCTTCCCAGACACTGCCCAGAGAGGAGCACCCGGAGAAGCTGACAGCTGAAGAAGGAACCAGCAGCGATGAAGAAAAAGGGTACAGGCAGACTGGCAGCCTTTTGAGTGTGCCAGGCATGAAGACTCAGATAGGAAGGATTAGCTTGTTCATGCCTTCTGTTCTCCAGTGCTTATGGCTGACTTAACCTGATGCATAGGGGACAGATATATCTTTCATGTTCTTCTACACAGCTATGGCTTTCCACAAACTGCCGTATTTAACTTTCACACCAACATGGAGGACTTTATAAAGATTAATAATTCTGCCCAAGTCAGAAAAGCCTTTTCTTTTAATGTCAGGAAAGCAAGGGGACCTCTGTTACCAGAAGAAGCTCCTAGTATTCCACCTGCATTAGCTGCCGCTGCTTTATCAGCCATCCTCAAGATAGGACATTTACCTCATGGTGAGCTGCCTTTGAGCTTGACTTGGCCATGCTTTGCTGGGTTCACATACCTTTGGCCCCTAGCTGAGGATGAGGTGTTACGGCTCTGCCATACTAGAGTTCAAGTTTCTTACCCATGCCTTTTCAGGCTGAAGAAGTAATCCCTAACTAAGGCATATTGTTGTCATGGTAACATGACATGATGATGGGTTTAGAATATTTTCATACATTTACATCTTGTAAAGATATTTGCCTGCATGCATGTATGCAGACCTGTAGAGGCCAGCATAGGATGTCAGACCTCAGAACTGAACCCAAGCCCTCTGAAAGAACAAGTGTCCCTAACCACTGAGAATCCTCTCCAGCCCTATGCATACATATCTTATACCTGTGTGTCTGGACCTCCTTTTCTCTGCAAAGTAGAAGCCCTCTTCCTCATGCCCCTTTCACCAGGAGCTTTTACCTATTAATGCCTGGTCTCCTGGCCTAACACTAACCCTAACCCTTCACACTGTTAAACAAAACAAACACTTAACATCCCAATATAAGCATTTTAATTTCTCAGCAAGTTCCAGAGTTCAGAGTGAAAAAGTATCTCCCTGAAAGACATTTGTCAGCCTCTTCTTTAAGATGAAAAACTATTTGAGCTTTTGACCAGCTTTTCAGTTGGGGGAAACCTAATTATCATCCCCCAGTTTACACGTGGGATAGCCAGCAAAAATTATGAGCATTCTCTGAAAGTGTGGAAGGCTGGAAAAGTGTTTTGGGTTTTTTTTCTTTCTTTTCTTCCATATGTAGGAAAAATTATGAAACTTGGTTATAAAGACCTATTTTTGGAGCTTCTCGGATCCCTTAGAAGAACTCAAGTTCACAGTCTCTTATTTGTTAAGTGCCCACTACGATCAGGTAGTTCCTGCAGAACCTTGTACAGTAGAACTTAAGTCAGGTTGCTCTTTGAAAGACAAAGGTTTCTTATTCCAGTAACTACTCCAAGAGCTCCCTCCTCCAAGATAGGAGCAGTTGAAACACCTACAATCTCTAATCATTATATTATTCATATCTTCAAAGGATTGAAGAACCCCTCAAGGACGGAAGTGACCTACAACCTCCACTGGGCTCTGTGCTAAAAGAGAAGGCAATAGAGACTGAATATCGACCAGAGGACTGGCAAAGCCAAAAGGCCAAACTACAAACCCAGGTAGTAGGACAGTTCTGGATAGGATATACCTCACCCATCCCAGAGTGTACCTGTGCCTCCTCCTACAGACAGCCTTGACAAGCACACAGGGCTAGTTTCCATCTAGCTGGACAGGGTGTTATAGATCCACGGCAAAGTAGACTTCTTGGTTTTGCTTATTCATTAAAAACTTCCCATCCATATATGATCAAGCATATTGGTGCAGCACCTAATTTGAGCCACTAGGATCCATCAATGACCAAGTCAGGTAAGAGTTCTTGTATTTTATACATAGTGGGTATACACATACTCACCAAAGGTCGAGAAGACAACAGTCTGTGTCTTTGGTTTCTATATCTATAGATTCAGACAACTCCAGGTTGAATATATTTGGTGGAAAGTGCATCTGTATTGAATGTATGCTTACCTTCTTGTCATAATTTTTCTAAACAAAGCAGCTTGATGACTGTTAATATAGCATTTGGTATTATAAGTAATGTAGGAAAGCTTTTATACACATAGGAAGGTGTGTGTGTGTGTGTGTGTGTGTGTGTGTGTGTGTGTGTGTGTGTGTGTGTGTTATACAGACACTACCCTGCTGTATATGGTCATGGAATCAGTCCTCCACAGCCATAGAGAAGCAACTGTATTTTCTGTCTTATAGTAGAGCTACTGAATACTAAACACAGTACATTAGAAGAGTTTCAGGAAGAAAAGCCTCAGTAAGGAGTGAGATCTAAGGACCTATGCAAGGTTTCTTCAGCCCCTCAAGTTCTCTGGGAAGGTTCCTTCTCATCCCACAGCTCCCTCTTTCCCAGCACTCAGGGCTCTATCTGAGGAGTCCTCTGGGGCACTCATTGAAATCTTACACCCTCCCTAGCCACTCAACGCTTCCAAAGACGGATGTTCAGCAAGGATGCTGGGGCCCTGAAAAGGTTGCCTTTTAGGACCATAGTGCAGGGAGGATGTCTGTGGCAGCAGGATTCCCAGCTGTAGCAGGCTCTGCAGCAAAGTGCCTGTGACTACAGGGAAGACCTTCAATCACTTAAGCAGCTGTCAGTCCATGAGATGGAGGAGCTGCAGCAGGATCTCCAGGAGAGCCTGCAACACAGCCAGGACTCCAAGGCCCAGCTTGAGGCTGCCCACCAGCGAGCCCCGAGCATTCTTGAGAAAGCCAAGGCTCAGGAGCTCAAAGTACGGTGACCCTGTGAGATAGGCAATTCGCTGGGCATCTGCCCTACCAGTCCCTGCTAGGCTCTGATGTTCTGCACAATGCCTTCTATCCACGGTTTCCAAGGACTATGGCAACAACAAGAACATTGTTATTCTAGACCCATTTCCACAGGAAGAAAAGGCTCAGGGAGATTCAGTAGCTTGCCAGCCAGAGTCTAATCCATTGCATACCTGGTTCGCCTTTTCTCATTTTTGTATATTCCTAACAGCATAAGAACAACTTGTATCAGGCATCAGGGTGTTTATAATCCAGTACTCCGGTGGATGAAAGAGGAGACCACTATGACACTAAGGCCATTTGGACTACACGGAGAGACCGTGTCTGAAAGAAAAGGATTATCTTGTTTTCATGTGGTGCTGTGTGTGATGCATGCCAGGGACTCAGGCTCAGCAAGAGATAGCCTTAAGAGAAAGGGGAAGAGCAAGCTGAAAAAACTCAGCTGGGAAAACCTTCCAGAGGGTAGGGTAAGTTGCAGTGTGGTGGCCAGGTATTTAATCTATCAGGCAATTCAAGCAACTCCAGCACCTTGTACCCACTACCTTCTGACCAGTCCCAAGCATCACATTCCTTCCCGTTATCTTAGGAGGCCTCCTAAAGAGGTGTCTCACAGAAAGGAAGCAGACCCAGAAGATAGTACAAGTGACCAAAGCCCCATAAAAGAACAAATGGGAAGAGTTTAAGAGTCCCTGTACCACTGGACAGCCTAGAAGAGGGCAAGGTGGCTGAGGTCCCATGTGGATCCAAGCGAAAAGAGAGCTGATGGAGATGAGGACACTGTGTTGGAAGTGTTTTTCACTTTTGGAAGTTGTGACAGGGCTCAGTTAAAGAGCACTAAGCAGATCTGCTGTCAACACAACAGTGAGTAATTTAAATGAAAGCCCGCACATGGTACAAGGGAGTGCTTCTGTCATGACAGCTTATTAAGTTCAGCAGAGAAGGCGAGGAGTACACCACCTTCTGTTTTTAAAATGAGGTGACTATGAGAACTGAAAGAGAGTAGTTGTGAGATATAAAATAGGAGGTGCAAAATCCTCTACTATAAAGCCAAGATGCTCCAGAACCTGAAAAGTAATCCCAATAGAGCAGATCAGAGATGCTGTTCTCTATGATAGTAAACACCAGAAGAAGCCACCAACAGTGGACAGCACAAGACCAGGTGTGGAAAAAGAAAATGAGCCTGCTTATTTCCTTTTTGCTTAGTACTATGTGGTTCTTTATAGTAAGGAGTGGATTGCCTTTATAAAAATAAGCTTAAAAAGGAGAATGGCACCATGTGTGCAGACTGTGTGCTAGGTACCCGAGAAAAGAAGAAAAACACAAAAAAAATCAGTCAACTCCCTCCTGTTATTCTTCTGTCTCCCAAATTTGCCTGCAATCTACAAGGACAACCGGGCTCACAGGATCCTAGGTCTTTCTGTCAGCTGCTGCAACTCCAGCCTGTGTGATTGCCTGGACTTTTTTTCCTCGGGGCTAAAGACCTCAGTCTTTTAGAGGAAGTGAAGTAAAGGAAGTACCCTGTGTCCCCCATCCCTGCCCTCCCCCCTGCCCGGGCTTCAAAGTATCTGGGGATTAGACAAGGGGGATTTGAGATCCCATAAAGAGAGGATATGGTCCCAATCTGAGAGTAAAGGCACGAGTTTTGGAGACTTTGAAATAGATTCAATAGATCTTAATCGATGGCTCCAGTCAATATGGGAGTGGTTCCAGAATGAGACTAGAGAAGTCAGGCTGGGAAATATAGCTTAATGGTAGAATGGGCCTTGCAGGTGGTAAGACCAAGGTTCAACCCCAGCATTACAAAATAAAATATAATAGTGGGGAGCAAATCCTGATTAAAAGCAAACTCACCACTTACAAGGTATGGGAGCTCAGGCAGGTAACTTAGTTCCTTTGCTCCTCAGTTCCCTCATTTTTCAAGTTCAGGAAATAGTAGACTATGGGCTGGTGTTGAAGGTCAAAAGATAATCCATGTAAAGTACCTAGGCTAGGACGCAGCCAAGAGTTCAGTTTCTAAATGTTCTTCGCTTGTCACTGAAGCTCCTGATGGGCAGATATATAGCTACAGCTGTAGGGGACTGCATGGTGCTGAGCTCAGAGGGCAACATTTGATTCACATGTGTAGCTGCTCCCAAGTAACCACTCAAAGGCTTAGTATGAATTACAAGTGCTCAGCATACTTTGGTGCCTCAGGCAATAAATCAGCATTTAGCCCTGGCATCTAGATGGACTTTGGGAGCCCATTCCACGTGGAGGGATGCTGTCTCCGCCTAGACACATGGGGGAGGGCCTAGGCCCTGCCCCAGATCATATGACAGACTTTTGAGATCCCCCAAGAAGGACCTTATCCTCCTTGGAGAGTAGAGTGGGGACTGGGGAAGGGGTTGGGGAAGGATTGGAGGGGGGCAGGAGAGGAGGGGAGGGAGAGGGAGCTAGGATTGACATGTGAAGTAAACTTGTTTTTAATTTAAATTAAATTAAAAAATAAATTAAACATAAAAAAGAATGCAACACAACTTTGCATCATCAAACAAATTTTCCCCAACATAAACAAATGTAACACATCATAAACTGATATCCACAGCAGTCTCCATCTGCTGTTAAAAGAAGCTTCTTTGGTGAGGAGTGAGAGCTCACTTACCTGTGGGTTTGAGCACACATTTTAGAATGTAGTTAGGAATTATGCTGGTACAGTAAAGTAGCAGTAGTAGGTTCTGTTCTAAGGTCCATGACTTCACAAGCCCTGGAGATAAGCACCAGTCACGATTTTCCTCCTGCTAAGTGGACCTTAAATCCAGTTAAACAACTGTTGGTTACTGTGGTGGTTTGAAAGAGAATGGCCCCAATATACCCATGGGGATTGAGTGGCACTATTAGGAAGTATGGCCTTATTGGAGAAAGTGGTCACTGGAGGCAAGCTTTGAGGTCTTAGATACTCAAGCCATGCCCACTGTGGCACTCGCTTCCTACTGCCTTAAGGTCCAGATGTAGAATTCTCAGCTACCTCTCCAGCACCATGTCTGGATGCAGGCTGTTATGCTTCTCACTATGATGATAATGGACTAAACCTCTGAAACTGTAAGCCAGCCCCAATTAAATGTTTTCCTTTATAAGAGTTGCTGTGATCATGATGTCTCTTCACAGCAATAAACCCTAACTAAGAAAGTTACCATCAAGATATAAGTGCCACTACTGCACTCTAGGGATATATTGACATATATTTAGTCACATACATAAGGTACATAATGTACAAAAATCACCTAAAATTACAGGAGCCATGAAAAATCAGGCTTTGCTAGGCTTTGCTGTACATTGCACAACGCCAGTCATCCACTGTGTCCACTGTGACACGAGGTCTGTGAAAATACCATGAGTGTCTATGGCCATGGAGGATAGACGAGAGCATGTGATACCCTGGATCTGGAAGCCGGGTGCTGGGAACTGAACTTGAGTCCTCTGGCAGAGAAGCCAGTGCTTAGCCACAGAGCCATCTCCATAGCCTCAAAATCTTTGTTTTTGTTTTTTAAGCCAGTTTTGTGAATATTATTTAAAACAGACCTATGTCTTAAGAAAATCTCACCGGGCAGTGGTGGCACACGGCTGGGCGGTGGTGGCGCACGCCTTTAATCCCAGCACTCGGGAGGCAGAGGCAGGCGGATCTCTGTGAGTTCGAGGCCGGGCTGGACCAACAGCCTCCAAAACAATACAGAGAAACCCTGTCTCCAAAAACCAAAAAAAAAAATCTCATTATTTAAATCAAGGATTAAATTTTAGTTTTACATCCATGTCCTGAATATTGACCTTAGGAATTTTAATAACTTGCAATCATCATGCATGTATCAAACCTTACATGACTTATTGGAGCCTTCTATGATATGCTTAAACATTCTCATTTTGTCTTTATTTCTCTTTGTCCATTTTGGAAATAATGTGTCTTTTTTCTTAGGACAAATCCTTATTTTTCCATATAAAAGACTTTTTCAAGAAAATTATCTTGGGGGCAGTGCTGGAGAGACGGCTTAGTGGTTAAGAGTACCGGCTGCTCTTCCAGAGGACCCAGGTTCAATGCCCAGCACCCATGTAACAGCTCACAACTGTCTGTGACTTCAGTTCCAGAGGATCTGACACCCTCACACAGGCATATACGGAGGCAAAAACACCAATGCATATAAAATATGTTTAAAAAGTTACCTTTTTAACTTTTATTATCAGAAATATATTCTGATGTTTACATTTTTAATTTTTTCTCATTCTCATTCATTTCTTTTTACTTAGTCTCCTCACTTAATATTATGAAACACACTTATTTATAACTTATTTTATTTATTTATTTTTTGAGACAGGCTTTCCCTGTGTAGCCCTGACTGTCCTGGAACTGACTTTGTAGAGCATGCTGGCCTCAAACCCAGAGATTCACCTACCTCTTCCTCTGGTGTACAAGAACTAAAAACATGCCATCTTGGCAGACTTCTATTTACCAATTTTTAAAAAGAAAGCTTAATCCAAAATTACATTTTGGACATAATGTAGCAAATTAAGAACACCTGACCATACATTGTTAAACTATAAGGTTCTTCTTTGCTTTAAGTCCTAAGCAGACAGCATCCCTACATGGATTTGTAAAATGGTTTCCTTTAAGCATTTATCTTTGTCAGTTACAGGATGTTACATTCCATCAAGAGCTGTCCAAGATTACAGCTTCCAGTGTCCTTGTACAGTGAATTGTCTTGTATAAGCAAGACAAAGGCAGAAGATAAAATATACAGATGAGCCCACAAATGCAATTTGAGATACAAAAGGCATTTACTTCCTTCCAAACTTTGGGAGATCAAAAACCTTTTCACCACATATGAATAAACAGAGTCAGAGCATCTTGCCAGAACATGCCCCCAAGGAACTATTGCCAGAAATAGAGGCTCTGCCTCCCATTCTAACAGTCAGAGCTCTGAAATAAACCAGATGGAACAGGGCAGAAAGATACTTTGAAATCAGAGGCGTGAAATCATGAATAAAAACAGAGCAGAGCAGAACAAACTAAAACAGAGGCCAAAGCAAGGAAACCAAACCTAAATGTATAGCAATTCAATTTGTCAGGCAAAAGCTCCAGAGTGTGCTAGGAGCGGAGGAGGGGAAAGTCCCGAAGAAAAAGTACTTGGCTGCTGTTCTGGAGTTTCTCATCCTGGAACCGAACCCCAGGACCCAGCCCAGCAGCAATTGTGATTCCTTGTTAGCTCAGTGACATGGCAGTGAGGTCAGACGTTGTTCTTGTAGAGTTGCCAGAATGCTGGTGTTCCTGTAACCAGTTTGGAGAAGCCGGTAACCACAGAGAGAACTGAATTAGAGTCTTTCATTCTCACTTTCTTCAGAAAGCCAGTACTCCAGGAGGGCAGCAGGCTAACTTCCTAAAGACTATCGTATGCCTCATCTCTAGCCAGCAAATCCCATGGGAGAAGGAGGAGGCAGGAGACAGGCAATCATTCCAGAGCTCAGTGTTACCTGTCCAGTCAGAGGAGGAGCCACATTTCTGACACATGTAGTGTCTGTGTTTCTGCTGTTTATTTGTTCCATGCACTAGTCCCTCATTCTGCAGGTGTTTGGGCTCGAGTACTTTCTGGAATGCTGGGTCTACTCAGTTTTTACTAGTATCAACCTGCATCTGAGCTGGTGAGGAACAACTCATAACAAACAATGTTTCTTTTTATTTTGGTTTTTTTCAAGACAGGGTTTCTCTGTATTGTTTTGGAGGCTGTCCTGGAACTCACTATGTAGACCAGGATGGCTTCAAACTCACAGAGAGCCGCCTGCCTCCGCCTCCCGAGTGCTGGGATTAAAGGCATGCGCCACCAATGCCCAGCCATAACAAACAAACTTTTAACAGTGTATGTGTGAAAAGCTGTTAATAGTATGTGTGTGCAGCTTCCTTTCCATAAAATGAAATATAAATGTGTCATCATAACACAGAGTATGAAAGTGCCCCCGTCCATCCCTTCTGTTCTCTGTCAGATGTACAATGTAGGACATGAAAGCAGGAAGAGGGGAAGAAGCCGTCTAAAGGGAGGAGAAAGTGGACGTAAGACAGGGTAATGGGATGCATGTGCCGTGAAATCAGAAAAGGGAGCTACTTCAATGCAGAAAAGGGACCAGCAGAAGCATGTGTGTTTTAGGAAAGCAGTGGAGAGGGAAAAACAGAACAAAATACATGGTGCTGGAGATGTTCGTCCAGTTGATAATCAGTCACCTTACATGTCTGAAGCCCTGGGTTCAATCCCCTGCACTTCATAATTAGAGTGTCTATAATCCATTCAGAAGGTGGAGGCAGGAAGATTAATGATTCAGGGTCATCCTCAGCTACAAAGTGAGTTCTAGGCCAGTCTGAGCTACCTGGGTTCCTGACTCAAAAAAAAAAAAAACTGTCAATTATAATGAACAAACATGCCATAATGAAGCCTATAACTTTATCAGCTAGCTAAAAAACTGCAAAGTATGTGATGTAGTCAGGTCATCAGTGTTCCACAGTCTAATAAGCCCACCACAAGAGTCCTAAATAAGTCTACAATCCCATGGCCAGAGAGTCTGGGAAACGGAACCTTCATTCAGTGGCTGATGGAAGCAGAGGCAGACTCCCACAGCTAAACACTGAGCTGAACTCAAGGAATCCAGCGACAGAGAGGAGGACTGCTGAGCAAAGGGGTTAAGACTGGGCTGGTTTAATCCCAGAAACAGATGACCTGACAAGGGTTAGCTCTTGAATCCCAGGCTGATGCCTGGGAATCCAGCATGGGACTGACCCAGATCCCCTGAATGTGGGTGTCAGTGAGGAGGCCTAGGCAATCTATGGGGCCTTGGGCAGTAGATCAGTATTTATCCCGGGTATACAAATGGACTTTGGGCACCCATCCAACAATGAGAGATGCACTCTCACCCTGGACTCTTGGGGGAGGGTCTAGGCCCTGCCCTGGATGAAATGACAGACTATGGACACCCCCATGGAGGGCCTCACCCTCCCTGGGGAAATGAGGGGATATTGGGGGGGTTGGTGGGAGGGCGTGGGAGGAAGGGAGGGAAACGGAGAGGGACCTGGAATTGACATGTGAAACAACCTTGTTTCTAATTTAAATTTAAATGTAAAAATAAAATATAAAAAGAGTCCTAAATAACCACTTCATGTCTCATTCCTTCTGCTCTGCCACAGGCCACAGAGGAGCTATTGAAGGAGGAGTCCAGTCACAGCCTCCAGATCCAACACCAGGCACACCTGCCCGAGCTCCAGGTCCTAGAGGAGGCCAGACAGGAGTTGCGAGAGGAACATGAGCAGACACAAGCCCAGCAACTTCTGCTGCTTGGTACATATCCCACTGTCCACCTGGGAGAGCCCAGCTACCTGTGTGCTCTACAAATGGAAACCAGTGACAAGCAGGGCACAGAGGCCGCAGCAACAATCCCAGCTCTATTCCCAACTAAGACCTGGGGTAGGGGTGGGGCTTCCAGGCTGAGTTTTCCTTGCCTATAAAAATGTAGCTGTGATTGTCTCTACCTCATCGGATCATTGTGTGGATTTAATGGGATGTTGAATATAACATGTCTAGCATACAACATGAGCCCAGTGAACATAGACACTATGGTTACCACTCAGTAGAACTCAGATATGAGCAGTGGCACAGGTTTCATTGGATTGCCTCAATTCTGTGGGTTTCCATTCCAGTGATAAATGCAAACTGGGGGGGCGCTCAGGCTCCCAGGCTCCACTTGACTTTCTTCTATCTGCCTCAGGCTATCCCTAGCATGAAATTTAACTCTGGTTCCATTTCAACATCAAAACCCACTCTCTCGGTGTTCCAGAAGTTAGCAGAGGCAGTTAAGTTCTCTGGAATTAAACTAGGTTTCAAACTGAATTCCTACACTTACTAGCTGCTTGGCCTGGGGCAGTCCATCAGCTGTCCAATGAGGGCAACAGAAGTGTTCACCTCACAGGGCTATAATGACTTTTGTGAGTCAACTTCTCCCAGCAGATTCTGGATTTAGTCTGAATCTGCTGGATATAAGTAACAGTCTTCTGTCCCCAAGAGCCAGCCAAGAGCTTATGCTCATGGCTAGAACTTGTGAATGTTTTCTCTTTAAAAACTGACATAAAGATAGGCGGTGGTGGTGCACACCTTTAATCCCAGCACTCAAGAGGTAGAAGCAGGCAGATCTCTATGAGTTTGAGGATCTCTATGAGTCTGGTCTACAAAGATACACAGAGAAACCCTGTCTCAAAAACAATAACAACAACAACAACAAAAAACAAAAACAACAACAACAACAACAACAAAAAACTGACATAAATATCAAGATTCCTGACTTGAGATCCTTGACCCCTGAAGAGGTTCTTTGTTCTTCCTTTGATTTCCTGACTTGGTGCCCAGGCCCAATGTTGCCTCAGGATCTGGTCTAAACTGAGGCCAACACACCCTAACCTGTTACTCCTCCATAACCAGTCATCAGTAGCCACACAGGTGATTCAAAACAAAGAAGAAACACTTGAAACATAGAATTTGGCTCTACATCTTAAAGCTGTGTAGCTCAGTGTTGCTTACCCTTTCTCTTGCTTATAATAAAATCGAGCTGGTGTGGGTAGGGTCAGGGGAATGGCAGGGTGGCGGGATTATACATTCCATACAAGTTGGGTGCAGGGTACATCGAATGTCCCCTATATCATACTATTGTTTCTGTGACCCTGGAATAAAGTTAGGAAAGATCTCTCACTGTTCTTCCTTCCAGAGTCCCTGAGGCAGGAGCTGACAGAGCAGCGAGCGGCCTGCTCTGAGCATCAGAAGGCCCTGGAGCTGCTACAGAATGAGCAAAGGGTCCTGGGCCCCCTGGGGAAGTGGCAGGCCATCAATCCGTGTTCTGGGAATGGCACAGACCACACCTTTATTACAGAGGTCAGTGCCTTGCCCCTGTCCACACGGCATTCCTTCTAAGATAGCATTAGGCTCACAGAGAACAGCCCCATATGGATGAACTCGGAACTAGATCTCTTCCCTGCTGGAAATGGGGATACCCTGCTCCCATTCCTTACCCCTAGAAACACTTGGTGATCTGCAGGCTCGTCTTTGAAAAGGAGAAAGCAGACCTTAAGTGTTGCAGGTTACTTATAGTTCAGATAGCTGTTTGTACCTGGTAGCCCTCCAGGTTGCTGGCTAGTCTCGGTCACTCTTCCAATCTGTGACAGAAATATCTCAGAACACTCCCCAGACAAACTCCCTGTTTAGACCTCAGTGATCTTGTTCTCCGGACCCCAGGCAACTCTCCTGCCCGGGCTTTGCCCATCAGCCCTTTCCCTGCACATTCCTAATTCCTATTCTAGTTGGCATCACGTCGAAACAATTTGAGCCTCAAGCTTCAGGTATTGGGGTAACTCACAGCATGACTTTGTGGCTGTCAGTGAAATAAGCTCCAGATGCCGCAATGCATCATGGAAAAACCTCCTCCCCCACTGGCTACACACTGCCTCTACAGCCCTGTTCTTTCTTGGTCTCCTGACATGGGCACCCTAACCTTTGCCTCATTGTGGTACCCACCCCCCACTTTGATGTCCAGACATCTGCACACTAGGATCTCCTGACCCTTAGGACAGTGACTACAGGGAAGTGGCAAGGTTAAACGCATGGTTATCTGATCTCTTATTAAACTCTCAGAGGGCCAGATTTGGCCAACACACCAAGAAGAGACTGCATGGAAACCACAAAAGCCCTTCATTGGGAACCTGATGTGGCTTTTTCAGTAGCACCTCCGTAACTGACCACTCCCTCCCTCCCACCAGTTCCCAAATAACCACTCAGAGGCTTAATATTAATTGCAAACTGTTTGACCTATTAGCTCAGGCTTATTATTAACTAGCTCTTACAACTAAATTAACCCATTTCTATTAGTCTATATTTTACCACAAGGCTTGTGGCTTGTTACCTCACATCTTGCTTCGGCAGTGGCTGCTGGCATCTCTCTGACTCCGCCCTCTTTCTTCCTGTATCGCTGCTTGGATTTCCCGCTTGACTTTATTCTGCCTGGCTATTGACCAGATCAGCCTGTTTTCTAACCAATGGTAATAAAACATATCCACAGCATACAGAAAGACATCCCACATCACTCCTCCATGTCATGTCCCTACCTCTGAACTGGCCTTGGCACCTACTGAAATAAAATTAAATTTTTACCTACTGCCTTCCCTTCAGGATGTGGGTGTTACAGGGCCTCCTGGTTCTGTGCCCTGTGCTGCAGAGAAAGGGCTCCTGGAGGAGAATGCTCAGCTCCAAGACACTGTGCTACGCCTGCGTGCAGAGGTGGAGCAGCACCTGCAGGAGGCGCTGCAGCTGCGTGAACAGCACCGGTGAGCCTGCAGCCCCGATTCCGTTCTTTTTTTTTTTTTTCTCCAGGTTTATTTTGGTAAAAAAAAAATCAGATATAACCTTTTAAAAATAACATTAATGTTTAACATGCATTCAAATAACTTTCTTTTTTTCCAGTTTAAATTTAGATAAGAAACGAGGTTGCTTCACAAGTCAGTTCCAGGTCCCGCTCCCATTCCCTCCCCTCCTCCCGTACCATTCCCCCATCTCCCCCCCCGTTATCCCCTCATTCCCCCAGGGAGGGTGAGGCCCTCCATGGGGGTGTCCATAGTCTGTCATTTCATATAGGGCAGGGCCTAGACCCTTCCCCAAGAGTTCAGGGTGAGAGTGCACCTCACATTGTTCTATGGGAGTCCAAAGTCCGTGTGTATACTTGGGATGGGTACTGATCTGCTGCCCAAGGCTCAATAGGTTCCCTAGGCCTCCTCATTGACACCCAAATTCAGGGGGTCTTGATCAGTCCCATGCTGGATTCCCAGGCTGATGCCTGGGATTCAAGAGTTAACCTTTGTCTGGTCAGCTGTTTCTGGGGGTTAAACCATCCCAGTCTTAATCCCTTTGATCATCAGTCCTCCCTCTCTGTTACTGGCTTTCTTGAGTTCAGCTCAGTACTTAACCAGCCACTAAATGAAGTTTCTGTTTCCCAGACTCTCTGGCCATAGGATTGTAGGCTGGCACTCCCCAGATCTATGTCTAAAATCCATATATGAGAGAGTACATGCCATGTTTCTCTTTTTGTGACTGGGTTACCTCACTCAGGATGGTTTCTTCTAGTGTCATCCATTTGCCTGCGAATCTCATGATTCCATTATTTTTTTCTGCTGAATAGTACTCCATTGTGTAGATGTACCACATTTTCTCTATCCACTCTTCAGGTGAGGGACATCTAGGTTGCTTCCAAGTTCTGGCTATTACAAATAAAGCTGCTATGAACATAGTGGAACAGACATCTTTGTTGTATGAATGGGCATCTTTTGGATATATGCCTAAGAGTGGAGTTGCTGGGTCATGTGGTAGGTTTATTCCCATTTTTCTGAGGAATCTCCATACTGATTTCCAAAGTGGCTGAACCAGTTGGCACTCCCACCAACAATGGAGGAGTGTTCCCCTTTCACCACATCCTCTCCAGCATAAATTGTCATTGGTGTTTTTGATTTTAGCCATTCTGACAGGAGTGAGATGGTATCTCAGAGTTGTTTTGATTTGCATTTCCCGGATGGCTAAGGATGTTGAGCACTTTCTCAAGTGCCTCTCAGCCATTTTAGACTCCTCTATTGAAAACTCTCTATTTAGTTCTGCAGCCCACTTTTTAATTGGGTCCTTTGCTGTTTTGGAGACTTGCTTCTTGAGTTCTTTGTAAATTTTGGAGATCAACCCTCTGTCAGATGTGGGATTAGTGAATATTTTTTCCCATTCTGTGGGCTGCCTTTTTGTCTTGCTGACTGTGTCCTTTGCCTTACAGAAGCTTCTCAGTTTCAGTAGGTCCCATTTATTAATTGTTGATCTCACTGTCTGTGCTACTGGTGTTATGTTCAGGAAGCTGTCTCCTGTACCAATTCGTTCAAGGGTACCACCCACTTTCTCTTCTAAGAGGTTCAGTGTGGCTGGATTTATGTTGAGGTCTTTGATCCATTTGGACTTAAGTTTTGTGCATGGTGATAAACATGGATCGATCCGCATTCTTCTACATGCCAGTCTCCAATTATGCCAGCACCATTTGTTGAAGATGCTTTCTTTATTCCATTGTATATTTTTAGCTTCTTTGTCAAAGATCAGATGTTCATACGTGTGTGGGTTAATACCCGGATTTTCAATTCGATTCCATTGGTCTACCTGTCTATTTTTGTGCCAATACCAAGCTGTTTTCAGGACTATAGCTCTATAATAGAGCTTGAGGTCAGGGATGGTGATGCCTCCGGACGTTGCCTTGTTGAACAGGGTTGTTTTGGCTATCCTGGGTCTTTTGTTTTTCCATACAAAATTGATTATTGTTCTTTCAAGGTCTGTGAAGAATTGTGCTGGGATTTTAATGGGGATTGCATTGAATCTGTAGATTGCTTTTGGCAGGATTGCCATTTTTACTACATTGATCCTACCTATCCAAGAGCATGGGAGATCTTTCCATTTTCTGAGGGCTTCTTTAATTTCTTTCTTTAAAGATTCAAAGTTCTTACGATACAGGTCTTTCACTTGTTTGGTTAGCGTTACCCCAAGGTATTTTATGTTGTTTGTGGCAATTGTAAAGGGTGATGTTTCTCTGATTTCTCTTTCAGCCCTTTTATCATCTGTATATAGTAGGGCTACTGATTTTCTTGAGTTGATCTTGTAGCCTGCCACTTTGCTGAAGGTGTTAATCAGCTGTAAGAGTTCCCTGGTAGAGTTCTTTGGGTCATTGATGTAAACTATCATATCGTCTGCAAACAGTGAAAGTTTGACCTCTTCCTTCCCAATTTGTATCCCCTTGATCCCCCTTTGTTGTCGTATGGCAATAGCTAGGACTTCAAGTACCATGTTGAAAAGGTATGGAGAGAGTGGACAGCCTTGTTTTGTTCCTGATTTTAGAGGAATTGCATTGAGTTTCTGTCCATTTAGTTTGATGTTGGCTGTTGGTTTACTGTATATAGCTTTTATTATGTTTAAGTATGTCCCTGTTATCCCAGATCTCTCCAAGACCTTTATCATGAAGGGGTGTTGGATTTTGTCAAAGGCTTTTTCAGCATCTAGTGAGATGATCATGTGATTTTTGTTTTTCAGCTTGTTTATATGGTGGATTACGTTGATGGATTTTCGTATGTTGAACCATCCCTGAATCCCTGGGATGAAACCTACTTGATCGTGGTGAATGATTGTTTTGATGTGTTCTTGGATCCGATTTGCCAGTATTTTATTGAGTATTTTTGCATCAATGTTCATGAGGGATATTGGTCTGAAGTTCTCTTTCTTAGTTGTATCTTTGTGTGGCTTGGGGATCAAGGTTATTGAAGCCTCATAGAAAGAGTTTGGCAAAGACCCTTCTGCTTCTATTGTGTGGAACACTTTGAGAAGAATTAGTATAAGCTGTTCTTTGAATTTGTGGTAGAATTCTGCACTGAGGTCATCTGGACCTGGACTTTTTTTGGTTGGGAGACTTTTGATGACAGCTTCTATTTCCATAGGGGTTATAGGTCTATTTAAATTGCTTATCTGTTCTTGATTTAGTTTTGGCAAATGATAGCTGTCCAGGAAGTCATCCATTTCCTTTAAATTTTCGAATTTTGTGGAGTACAGGTTTTCAAAGTATGACCTAATGATTCTCTGGATTTCCTCAGAGTCTGTTGTTATGTCCCCCTTTTCATTTCTGATTTTGTTAATTTGCGTGTTCACTCTCTGCTGTTTGGTAAGTTTGGACAAAGGTTTGTCTATCTTGTTGATTTTCTCAAAGAACCAACTCTTCGTTGCATTGATTCTTTGTATTGTTTTCCTGGTTTCTACTTTATTGATTTCAGCCCTCAATTTGATTAATTCCTGGCGTCTACTCCTCCTGGGGGAGTTTGCTTCTTTGTGTTCTAGAGCTTTTAGCTGTGATGTTAATTCTCTGGTATAACTGTTCTCCTGTTTCTTCATGTGAGCACTTAGTGCTATGAACTTCCCCCCATAGCACTGCTTTCAAAGTGTCCCATAGGTTTGGGTATGTTGTGTCTCCATTTTCATTGAATTCGAGGAAGTCTTTAATTTCTTTTTTTATTTCCTCTTTGACCCAGGGATGGTGCAGTTGAGCATTATTCAATTTCCATGAGTTTGTAGGTTTTCTGCAATTTGTGTTGTTGTTGAATTCTAATTTTAAGGCATGGTGGTCTGATAAGATGCATGGAGTTATTCCAATTTTTTTGTAGCTGCTGAGGTTTGATATGTTGCCAAGTATGTGGTCGATTTTTGAGAAGGTTCCATGTGGTGATGAGAAGAAGGTATATTCTTTTTTATGTGGATGAAATGTTCTATAGATATCTGCTAATCCCAGTTGGGTCATTACTTCTATTAGACCCTTTGCTTCTTTGTTGAGTTTTTGTCTGGTATTCCTGTCTAGTGGTGAGAGTGGTGTGTTGAAATCTCCCACTATAACTGTGTGGGGCTTTAGATGAGATTTAAGTTCTAATAATGTTTCTTTAACGAATGTGGATGCCTTTGTATTGGGGGCATAGATGTTCAGGATAGACACTTCATCTTGGTAGGTTTCACCTGTGATGAGTATGTAATGACCTCCTTCATCTCTTTTGATTGATTTTATTTTAAAGTCTAGTTTGTTAGATATTAGGATTGCTACCCCTGCTTGTTTCTTGGGTCCATTTGATTGAAAAATTTTTTCCCAACCTTTAACTCTCAGGTAATGTCTGTCTTTGAGGGTGAGGTGTGTTTCTTGTATGCAGCAGAAGGAAGGGTTCTGTCTTCGAATCCATTCTGCTAGTCTGTGTCTTCTTATGGGTGAGTTAAGGCCGTTAATATTGAGGGATATTAATGACCATTGATTGCTCATCCTTCTTCGATTTGCGATGGTTGTTGGTGGTGGAATTATGTATGGAATTTCACCCCTTTGTTCTTTTGGCTGTTGGTAGAGAGGGATTCTCTAATGCTTATGTTTTTCTGGTTGTAGTTAGCTTCCTTGGGTTGGAGTTTTCCTTCCAAAATTTTCTGTAGGGCTGGGTTTGTGGACACATATTGCTTGAATCTAGTTTTGTCATGGAATATCTTGTTTTCTCCGTCTATAGTGATTGAGAGCTTTGCCGGGTATAGTAGTCTGGGCTGGCATCCATGGTCTCTTAGTGTAGGTAGAATATCTATCCCTTTCAGCGTTTCCATGGAGAAATCAGGTGTAATTCTGATAGGTCTGCCTTTATATGTTACTTGACCTTTTTCCTTAGCTGCTCTTAATATTCTTTCTTTATTCTGTATGTTTGGGGTCTTGATTATTATGTGGTGACGGGATTTTTTTTGTGGTCCACTCTATTTGGTGTTCTGTAGGCTTCTTGTACCTTCATTGGCATGTCTTTCTTAAGGTTGGGAAAGTTTTCTTCTATGATTTTGTTGAATATGCCTTCTGCCCCTTTGAGGTGGATTTCTCCTCCTTCTTCTATACCTATTATTCTTAGGTTTGGTCTTTTCATGGTGTCCCATATTTCCTGGATGTTTTGTGTTAAGGATTTGTTGGATTTAAGGTTTTCTTTGGTTGATAAATCCATTTCTCCTAGTGTATCTTCAACACTTGAGATTCTTTCTTCCATCTCTTCTATTCTGTTGGTAATGCTTGTATTGGTAGTGCCTGACTGTTTTTCAGCTTTTCTATTTTCTGCCTTTCTTCAGATTGTGTTTTTTTTAATGTCTCTATTTCAGTTTTCAACCCTTGCAGTGTTTTCATTGCTTCTTGCAATTTTCTGTTTATCTGTTCGTCCGTTTGTTGCCTTTTATGAATTTTTTTGGTTTGTTCTTTCTTCCATTTCTTGCATTTTTTGGTTTGCTTTTTGTTCCATGTCTCGCATTTTGTGCTTTGTTTCTTCTTCCATTTTCTGCCTTTTTTGGTTTGTTTCTTCTTCCATTTTTTTCATTTTTTGCTTTGTTTTTTCTACCATTTCTTGCATTTTTTGCTTTGTTTCTTCTTCCATTTTCTGCCTTTTTTGGTTTGTTTCTTCTTCCAATTCTTGCATTTTTTGCTTTGTTTTTTCTTCCATTTCTTGCATTTTTTGCTTCATTTCTTCTTCCACTTCCTGCCTTTTTTGGTTTGTTTTTTCATCCAATTCTTGCATTTTTTGGTTTGTTTTTTCTTCCATTTCTTGCATTTTTTGGTTTGTTTTTTCTTCCATTTCTTTGAGGGATTTTCCAATATCCTCTTTTAGGGCCTCTATCATTTTCATGAAAGTGCTTTTAAGGTCGTTCTCTTCTGCTTCGTTCACATTGGAATGTTGGGGTCTTGCTGGTGTGGAGTCTCTAGAATCTGGCGGTGTCATATTTGTTTTTCTGTTGCTGACTGTGTTTTTGTATTGTCTCTTTCCCATCTCTTCTTCTAGTGGGTGCAGAAAGAGCCCCTTACTGGTCTGGGGACCAGAGTTCCCTTTTGGTGGGTGCGAGCAAGTCCAATAATCTGGTGGTTCTTCTATTCCTTGTCCAAATGCTGGTCCGTGGGTGGAGAAGAAGAACAGGAATCTGGGGCGCTTAGCCTCCTACCTGGTCCCCTGGATCCTATGCTGGGTCCTGTTGTACCTGATCCGGAACAGCTACTCCCCTGGTCTCCCTGGCTCCTCTGGTTTCCTGGTCTCGTTGGTGGGAGAGAAGATCTGGAGTCTGGGGTGCTTGGCTCCCGCCAGGATTGGGAGCTCTGTGCAGTTCCCAGGTGATCTGCAGGCACTGGAACACTGGCCGGGAAGCTGGCCTGTTTACCGGATGCTGCCGGAGGGATAGCTACTTCCCTGGACTCCCAGGCTCCTCTCATTTCCTGGTCTCGATGGTGGGAGAGAAGATCTGGAGTCTGGGGTGCTTGGCTCCCGCCGGGATTGGGAGCTCTGTGCAGTTCCCAGGCGATCTGCAGGCGCTGGAACACCCCGATTCCGTTCTTTCCCTTCCCCACGTTCCTCCCTCCTCTCGTTCCCCTCTTCCCTTTCTTCCATCATTGCTTGGAGCCTCTGAGATCTGAAACAGGACTCCCCCCTTTTCTTAGACCTAGACTCAGACCCAGAAGAGACAATGAAATGGAATAGTTCAGGCAGTGTATGGCTGCATCTTGACAAAGGGACAATACCACCAAGGGTCATCTGCTCAGGGCAGTAATATGTGGGCAAGAAGCTTGCCCCCCACACCACCAAGCATGGAGGAAGCACCAGGCTGGGTGAGCTACCTGCTTGGTTGGAAGGTTTATAATACAAATTTAGTGTCTTGAATAGGACTTCTTAGGGTATCTGTTTCCTTAGGAATAAGTTTTGTCGGTTTATTTTTGTCGAGGAATTTGTATGCTTCATCTGTTTTTGAGTGTTTCACTCCAGAGTTAGTTATTCACTAGTTTTTCTTTTTTCATATTCATACACAGCTGATTATTTTCACTTATGTATTGTGAACCCTGCTGGGCCAGCTCTAAACTACTTCCCACTTTGCTTGTCCTTGGTCATTTAGTTTTTAAAGCACTTCTTTATAAGAGAGAGGGGAGATGGCTCAGGGTTTCATAGAGCTTGCTCTACCTCACACTACATGAGTCTAGAGAGACTGGGGTTTGCACTTTGGTCAACAACTGTAACTTTTCCTCTTGTGCATGACCTCAACCAAGGCTTTTAATCTCCCCAGACCTCGGTTGCCCAGAGCATCAGGCATGGCAAAGCCCAGCAGCACACAAGTGGTGGAGAAAACTAATAGAAAGAAAAGAGATGCTACATGTAATGGCAGTGCCTCTAACCCTAGCACTAAGGAGGCTGAGGTAGAGGAATCTTGAGTTCAATGCTGGCAGAAACAACATAGTGAGACCTTTCCAACTCTACCCTGACACCCCCAGAAAGGATTCCATGCCAGGCATTTGGAACAACATTAGGCACGTAGTATTGACTTAAAAGGGGGTGTCAGTTGTTAAAATTCATAAAATTGAGCTTAAACCTGGGGTCTGGGAATGTAGCTAGTGGTAGAGCACTTTACTACCAGGGACAAGAACCTGCACTTTATTACACAGAGACACACATGTACATGAATGTGCGCACACACACATATGCACTTCTCTGAACACTTTACTAAACTCATCCCTGGATTCAGTGGAGTTGAGATGGAGCCTGAAAATTAGCCTCTGAATTAGAATTAGTTAGAATTTGTGTTTCTGAAAATTTCCCAGGAGATGCTGGAGTTGACTGGTGAAATTGTGGCACCACTCCAAGCCTGTGCCTCACCTCACCCTTGCTGCTATAATAGCCAAGGTGAGGGGGTTTCCAGAACAGAGAATAAAGGCACTGGCCTCCTACAGACAGAAGCATCTAAGTAAGATGAGCCTAAAGAAAGGTGGATATGGTGGCACATCCTTGTAATCTCAGCACTTGAGAGACTGAGGCAGAATTGCCAAGAGTTTGGGGCCAGCCTGGGCTACAGTGAGCTCCAGGCAGTGTGAACTACAGAGTAAGACCCCGTCTCATACAATACAAAACAACCAATGAGTGTCCCTTAGTGGGATAGCCCTGGGTACTGGTTTCTCAGGCAGAGATACCTACCAAAGAGGAAGCCACGTTTAACAAATCTGCTCTAGATCCCACCCCAATTACAGAAAAGCTGAAGAAGGACCTAGAACCCTGAATGCTGAAGAGATATTAAGTAGTCATAATGCCTACTGATGGCGAAGGGAGCCGACCACAGCAAAATGAGTTATTTACAAACCCTCCCCACCCTGTGCACCTACATTGTTGTGAAATAACTCAATATCCATCTAACTGAGGTCATGGGCCTCCCTCCCAGGTGAACCTGAGATAGGAGTTCATCTAAGAAGAGCCAGCAGCCCATCTGGCTGAGATGGAGCAACCTAAATCAGGAGATGCACCATGTGACCCTAGGCGAGTCTTCAAGTGAGGAAAGCAATAATCCCTCACCTGGGAAAAAAAGAAACCACTAAAATGTTCACATACTGCCTGAAAGCGGACTCAGCTGTGGCCCATTAGGATCCTCTTCTAGGTTAAGAACAATGGTAGCTCGTGGTTGAAAAGGCCTTTGTGCCATGGGCTATCCCAGGTATACATGAGCTCAATTCCTCCTTGTAATGACCCTATAAGGTAGGTACCACATCACTTCCATTTAACAAAAGAGGATTCTAGGCCCATGGTCACACAGTTAAAAATAATAGCAAAAGCCAAGAACTTTAGCAGCCTGGCTGTAACTACTACTCTTTTACCTCTTCCGCCCACCTTTCTGGAAAGCCTGGAAAGTGTTCTCCTGGGTTTCAGAGTTCTATGCCTGAGAGAATGCTACCTCTGCATAGGGAGGGGGAGTATTTTCTGGTGCTCCCTCCAGATCTCTTCCTTCTTCCAAGGAAGCTAACTCTTTTGATCAGAGTTCTCCTTTGCTGATGCTGGCTGGAGTGGGAAGAGCCCAAGAAGGGTTCTCATGGTGAGGCTTACCCTGAACTTCATAACCTGGAGACCCCAGGTATCCTTTTAAACTAGGCCACCAAACAGAGAAATGAACCTCAAAGTCCAAGGGCTCAGGCTCAGATTCTGGGTGACCCTGACTATGCTTCCATCCTCACAGGTTGCTAGAGGAGGACCAGAAAGCTCAGAGAGCCATGGAGGTGGAGGCACTCCACCAGGAGCACCGGAAGGAGATGCAGGCCATGGTGGCAGATTTCAGTGGTGCCCAGGCCCGGCTCCAGGCCAGGCTGGCTGCTCTGGAAGCTGAGTGAGCAAAGTCTTGGGCTCAGGTGGGGAGGGACTAGCAGGTTACCATGTGGGGAAGTGACCAACGCATCCTAGTGTCCCTAGGCTTTCGTGGCTTTAAAACCTAGATATTCCCTGGGTTCCAGAAGCTCTTCATTTCCACACAAATGAGGATGGTTGGTCATCCCTCATTTTACTTTGTTTTTCTCACTTTTATAGTTACTTGAAAATTTCATGAATGTATTTGATCATATTCATTCCCATCAAGTATAATTTGTGCTGCCCATATATTCTTGAATGTGTGGCCATCCACTGGAGGAACATAGGTGACATACCAGGAGCTATTCTCACAAATAAAAATGACTCCCTATCCCACAGCTATCATTGCCAGTAGTCCCTCAGCTGGGTGTGGGACGTTGTGTCTGCCTCCTATCTCCATGTTGGGATGTTGCCCATCTTGAGCTTGTTTCATGCATGCTGTCACTGCCATTGCGAGTCTATATGTGACAATGCCTTGCTGTGTCATAACAGTGTTTTCTCACCACCTCTGGCACTTACACTCTTTCTGCCCCCTCTTCTCTCCTTCTCTCTCTCTCTCTCTGTCTCTCTCTCTCTGTCTCTCTCTCTCTCTCTCTGTCTCTCTCTCTCCTCTCTCTCCTCTCTCTCTTCCTTTAATTGAAAATAGATTTTTTCTTACATAACATATATTACTATAGGTCCCTCCTCCTCCACTGCTCCCCATTCCTCCTCACATCCTCTCTGATCCAGATCCATCCCCTTTCTGTATCTCACTGGAAAACAGACAGACTTGCAAGGGATAATAATAAAATATAACATAATATGATAAGGTAAAACCAAGTCTAACACATTGAAATAGGACAAAGCAAACAAACAGAAGTAAAAGTCCCTAAGAAAAGACACAAGAAATGGAAACATACATTGAGACCAGCTCATTCTCACACTCAGGAAACCCATACAAACACTAAACTGCAAGCCAGAATATATATGAAAAGGACCTGTATGGTTAAAAAAAAGAGGCAGAAAATATACATAAGTGAAATAAAAATTAAAAGTAAGATAGGAAAATAAAAAGGAAATGTTCTAACATGACATTATGAGACAAGGCCCCTCCAAACATGCTGTTGAGTGTGTTTTCTGTTGGCCATTTACTACGGGGCATGTGGCCTACCATTAAGAGGAGTTTGTTTCTCCAGTGAGACTCCCTTAGAGAAAACTAAAGTTTCATTTGTAAGTGGTTATCAATTGAAAATAGCTTCTGTATTAGGAACGGGATTATGTTCCCACTTCTCCTTTCAGTCTAGGACACCATCTGGTGCATTGGTGTGTAGACCATGCGCATGCTCCTCAGTCTCTGTGAGTTCATATGATCACAGATCCTGTTGATTTAGAGGGCATTGTTTTCCGGGTGTCCTCCAGCCCCCTGGCTCTTACAATCTTTGAGCCTGCTTCTCCGCAGATGTCCCTGAGCCCGGAGGGGATTTAGTGAAGATATCTTGTTTAGAACTGAGAGTTCAAAGGTCTCTCACCCCCTGCATAATATCTGGCTGTGTCTCTTTGTATCTGTCCCATCTACTATAGAAGGGAGCTTCTCTGAAAATGGCTGAGCAAGACACTAATATATGAGTATAGCAAGACACTAATATATGAGTATAGCAAGGTGTCATTAGGAGTCATTTTATCGATACTTTTTTTCTTTTCTTTTTTTTTTTAAACAGTAGTATTTATTTTACCCTAGATCACTGGGCAAACTAGTCTCAGGTTCTTGGTTACACTTCAGTGTTGGGTATGGGTTCCATCTTGTGGAGTGGGCCTTAAGTAAAATCAGATATTGGTTGACTATTCCCACAAGCTTTGCACCATGCTTGACTTAGTTTATCTTGCAGACAGGACACCATTGTAGATTGAAGGGTTTGTGGCTGGGTTGGTGTTTATTCTTTTCCTTTGATAGCATGCAGAGTAGCTTCCTATACAAAAGACACTAGCACATAGGGGTGAAGGCTCTATTGTATAGCAGCTCAACATCTCATGGTCAGGGAGTTGTGTAGATGTTGTCTTCAGCAATGGGGCTTTGCCATCAGTTTGTGGAGAGCAACTATATAACAGTCTATTTTCTCTGCAACTTTGACTAGTTAATTGCTTCTGTGTTAATTGACATTTACTGCAAACAGAAGCTTCTCTATGTGAGTTGAGGGATGCATTAACCTGTGAAGATTTGTTTTTATTTATGTGTTTATGTAAAGGCACTCTACCCATGTGACAGTACCCTAGAGGGCCAGAAGAGTCTTTCTTGTAGTAGCCTGAGTGATAGTGAAGCTAAAAGAAGGGATGCTTGACAGGGAGACTGGTTAGGATGCGATGCAGTGATCCTTGCTGACAGGTAAAAAATCTCTTCCACGTGATTATATAGCAGAAAGTGAGTTTAAGAACCTGTGCTGTTAAAAACCAGTTTTGACCAAAATCAGTTGCAGTGTGTCTTGCCCAGAGCCACAGGTCTGTTAATCCTCAAGCGGGAGCTGGGACAAGAGGATTGCAATTCCAAAGCCCGCAAGGGCTGTCAAATGAGTTCATGGCCGGCAAGGGCAGTGTAGTGAGATCATATCTCAGAATTTAAAAAAGGGATTGGGGAGATAGCTCAGTGCCTGTTCATGATTTTCAATCCCCAGCACTGAAAGCTACAGTGAAGTGTATCAGCCAAGTTCCATCCAGTGGGCACTTGTCATATGCCCATCGGTCTTGGGGCAGTCAATCTTCACCTCATTGGCTCTTCACAACAAACCACTGTTTCATGCTCACTTTAAAAAGGAAGGAGGTGCTGGGAGCAGTGGCACATGGAGGCAGAGACGGGTGGATGTCTGTGAGTTCCAGGCTAGCCTTGTCTATATGGGGAGGCCAGCCAGGACTACAAGATGGGACCCGGTCTCAACTGCACAACCACCTTCCTCCCTGCAGAAAGAGGAAAGAACCATGACTCCAGAAATGGTGTAATCAATGAAACAATGAAAAGCAGTGGATCCAGGATGAGAAGAGGGGTGGAGTTTTCTCACTCTAACATTCTCATTTGCTCTCGGTAGTCCTCAGCACTGGCTCTCACCATCACCATCCCTGGCCTATTTCCTTTAGGGCTGTGTCTGAAAGGGCTTCTTGACTCTAAGGACAACTCAGGCTGTACTTTGTGTCCCCATCAGATAGAGCAAGAACATCGTGGGCATCAGGGGACCCTGCAGGGTGGGGTAGAAGACTTGTTCCAGAACCAGGCCTGGCCCCAGAAGCCTGACTGCATGTAGAATCTATGTGCACACCCTTTAGTTCTGAAGGGGTGGGAAAAGTGACAGGAGCCAGATCAGGAGTAGGTCCTGGGTGGCCATGCTAAGCACAGTCTCCAGCTTGCCTGTTGAGAAACCTCTGTAGAAGGACTGACTGCCTACTTTGAACAGGCTGAAAGATTCTGGAGAGAAGCCGGGGAAAGGAACTTCACGACCCGAGGACCTGCAGCTCATAGGCCGCCTGCAGACACGCCTGAAGGAGAGAGAAGACATCATCAGGCAGCTCACGGTGAGGCCTAGACCATGTCCAGCACACACAGTAAGGGTGCTTACTTTGAATCTGGCATTTCTGTAGCTGCATAAAATGTTGCTTGTCAACACTTTATTACTTATTATTTCCCCCTATTACTAACAAGTACTCATTAAAAAAAGATACAAGCAAAAAAAAAAAAAGACACCCTATTTCCAAGTTTAACAGCATTTGGTTTGATGTTCTGTTTTTTAACCTACAGAATTTAATAAAAATCCATTCACTCACCTTGAACTTTTAGTAGAATCACTCAAATTTCCCATTGTTGATCTTCCTTTTGTAAGACCAACCACCTGTTTTCTAGTAGCAAACCCATTCCCTAGAACCTTGTAGAATTATTTCCAACTCCTTTGATTCTGTACTTCAAAATCATCAAGACTTTAATCTTTCTTCCTTAGGACCTCTCTCCCCTTGGTAAGTCTTTGACTCTTAGAATTATATTAATAAGGAATAACTACTAACTTGTTAAGTATAGGAAGTTATTGTGGTTATGATTATCTTTTTAATTCCTTCCTCTATCTATCTATCTATCTATCTATCTATCTATATTTAGGTGTGTATGTGTGCATGTCACATATATATGGGTCCCCTGGAGCTGGAGTTACTAGTTTTGTGAACTGCCTGATTATAGGCACTAGGAATTGAATTTATGTCCTCTAGAAGAGTAATAAGTGCTCTTAACCACTGAGCTATCTCCAGACCAGTTATGATTATCTTTAAAGAATAGTCACTTGCAGTGCTGGAGAAACCCACAGAAACAGTTGACTTGACCTAGTGAGAGCACGGAGAACCTAGTCATAAAGCTGGGGAACCAGCATTGGACAGAACCAAGCCCTCTGAATGTGTCTGACAGCTAGGAGGCCAGGGCAGTCTGTGGGACCTCTAACAGTGGAGCCAGTGTTTATCCCTAGAGCACAAAATGAACTTTGGGAACCCATTCCCTATGGAGGGATACTATTGTAGCCCAGATAAGGGAATGAGGGCCTGGATACTCCCCCAAATGATGAGACAAACTTTGATGGTCCCCGTGGAGGGCCTCACTATCCCTGAGAACTGAGTGGGGTGGGTTTGGGGGTCAGTGAGGAGCATGGGAGGATGGGAGGGCGAGGGAATGGGGGAATTGATATATGAATAAGTGCTTCTAAAAGCTGGGCGGTGGTGGCGCATGCCTTTAATCCTAGCACTTGGGAGGCAGAGGCAGGCGGATCTCTGTGAGTTCGAGGCCAGGCTGGACCGACAGCCTCCAAAACAATACAGAGAAACCCTGTCTCATAAAACAAAAAAAAGAGTGCTTCTAAAATAAAAAAATTAAAAATTAAAAAAAAAGAATAGTCACTTGGGTTAAGAGCATTTGTTGTTCTTGCAAGGGCCCAGGCTCAGTTCTCAGCACCCACATGTGGTGTTTCAGTGCTTAGCACCACACAAACCAAGTGTAGCAGCACATACCTGAAACAGATTGGAAGTTCAAGGTCATGTTTCTCCTTAGCTGAATAGTATGTTTGGAGTACATGAGACCCTGTTTCAAACAAAGGCAAGGGAGAGAAAGGTTGAAATTGAGTATGGGAAGGAGTGTTCATTGCTTAATCACTTTAACTTTTGGACTAGACTTTATTTTCAGATTCTCCGTAGAGTTAGAGTGTTTTTCCTTGCAAAGGCAGCTTGCTCTTTCCTTCACTGGTGATATGAAGGCCCTAGATGAAGGTCTTCAGTGACTGGCTGCTCATTGTCACTCACCTACCCTCTTCTCCAGAACTTTCCTTCTGCCCTCCTACCATCTGAACAAAACTGGTAGCACATGCCTAAGCTATCTAAGATCTGGTTGCTTTGATTTTCCAGGAAGAGAGAAGATTTCACTACGCAGCATTCCCCAGTGCAATGTCCCATCGGAATCGGTCCTTTTCTTTCAATCCTCACCCGGGATACTTGACCCCTTCCATGAAGGTAAATCAATTATAACACACCACACAACCTGCAGGTTTCTTTTCTTATCAAATAGCTATAGTATTTTGATGGGCTGGTGGGCATCAGTGGAATAGTTGCTAGAAAAAAAACCACAGGAAGGAGTCTAAACTGCTAGCAAACAGTACTGGAGGATTATGTGTGGCATGTATTTTCTATGGACTTCTGTGTTTTTTGAAACAAATATGTGTCACTATTAATAGTCCATCCAGATGATGTGAGAGAAGGATAATTGTAAGAATGCTCCATTTCTTCTCTTTATCTCTGTCTCATGTGGATTTGTAATGATAAGCATTTTCACAACAACTCTTCATCTCCTACTACAAGATCCCTAAGAGTTGAAAAGAATCAGCATTTCATAGTTCACAGAGTAACAAACCTAGGCTGAGTGGACCCGACAAGATATCACTTGTGGTTAACTTATCCATCTATTGTAGCAATACAACTTGCATTCTAGAGGCTAATGAAGATGAAGTTGAAGACCAGGCAGGGCCAGGCCTTTCTACTATATGACCTCTAAAATATTTTTAAAATGATGAAGCAAGCCTTTTCCTAAGTCTTGGATAGAGATCATAGACCTGTGGGGTTTTGTTAAAGATGAAAAATAAAGATTGGAGAAAAATGGTTTGAAGGGATGGGGGCATAGCTCAGTGGAAGAGCTCTGGCATGCTCGAAGCCCTGGATCTCAGCCCCAGCACTGCAATCAAATTATCAATTAAATTTTTTAAAACTGAGGCATGGTTTCATTATGTAGCCCTGGCTGGCATGGAACTTACTGTGTAGATCAAGCTGGCCTTGAATGCATAGAGACCTGCCTGCCTCTTCTTCCTGCATGTTTCAATTGCTAAAGGCATATGGTAATATGCTTGGCCTTACTAAAGGCATATGGTAATATTCTTGGCCCCCAAACAAGTTTTTAAATAATATATAAGTATATAAATATTTCCCCTTTTCCTTGTCCTCTTTTGCTTTTATAAGAATGCTATCTCCTGGGTGGCACTAACAGCTTTCCTGTAACACAAACAGAAAAAGAAGATGGAGGAAGTGCCCAGCCGAGTGGTCAGCGTGCCAAACCTTGCCTCCTATGCAAAGAACCTTCTGAGTGGAGATCTGAGCTCCAGGATCAATGCCCCTCCCATAACAAAGTCACCCAGCCTGGACCCAAGCCCCAGCTGTGGCCAGCCTTACAAACCCACCCAGTTACTCGATGGGAAAACTGCCACAAGGTGTGGGGGGGGGCGGTGAAGGTGTTACTGTTTCTCAAAGGGCAGGAAAGAAATTGGTGTCTTCTCAGGAACTTACCTGCTAAGTATCTGGCATCTGATCTAAATAGTAGGAGCCTGATCTCGGACAATGGCACTCTACTCAAATGGGAACACTGATGGTAGAAAGAAACCATTGTTCTTTGGAATTCTGGTGCCAGATGTTAGAAGGCCTAATTTTCATGGAATCACTTCATTTAAAGTCTGTATTCAAAATCCATTTTTTTCTTGGCTGTGTGGCCTTGGGCAGGGGACCTCTATAGTTCCCTGTATTTCTATCTTAAAAATGAATTCAGTAGCTTGGTGTTGGTGCCACATGCCTTTAATCCCAGCATTCGGGAGACAGAAGTAGGCAGATCTCTGTGAGTTCAAGGCCAGCCTGGTCTACAGAGCAAGTTCCAGGACAGCCTCCAAAACAATACAGAGAGACCCTGTCTCAAAAAAAAAAAAAAAAAAAGAATTCAATACCTACCTGATCAGATTGGTGTGACTAAAGGAATTAATTCGTAAGATATTCTCACCCTCAGACCTGACACAGAAGTGTGTGCTTTAGCTAAGGCTACTTTTTAGTGTGGATGGTACTGAGGCAATTGGAGCCTCTCGGTGAGTCTGGCTGAGTGTGGACGATGCTGTCTGTTGTACCCTTCTCATCTTCCCGAGACCTGTGGGTTCCCCTCTGTGCACTGTGTTCCTTCTCATCAAGACCTCCATTGAAAGGGCACCCTTTAAATTCTGAGTGTGAAGTCGGCATTTAGAAAGGACCTCCTCTAAAATGCTGTGGTTCCAGACTCTCTGCGTGCCAGCCTGACCATGGCTGTTTAGACTGGTGGGGAGGCAGAGACCTGACGGTTGAGCTGAGGCTAACTTGCTACCCTGAGTGAATGTAGCCCCTTTGGGTTCTGCCTGAGGAGAAAGGTCTAGAGCAGAGCATACCAGTTTGCCAGCTCCTGACTCTCATTGATAGGCACCTCTTTTTCAAGCTATTGTTTTTTTTTAATTACAGCATTTATGGGTCAAGTGTGGTGGTGCATGCCTTTAATCCCAGCATTCTCCAAGCAGAGGCAGGTGAATCTCTGTAAAGTTCTAGGTCAGCACAGTCTAGGTAATAAGTTCTAGAACAGCCAGAGCTACAAAGTGAGACCCTCAGAAAATTTACATTATTTCCTGAGGGAGGGTGGCATCTGCCATTGCACATATATTAATGTCAGAGGACAACTTTTGGAAGTCTGTTCTCTCCTTTTACCACATGGGTTCCGGGAATCAAACATGGGTCCTCAGGCTTGGCAGGCTGCCATTTTATATGGAGCTTCACAAACAAAGACTATTTAGCCAGGTGACAGTTTCATTGCCTGCTCTTTCTTCTTTTGATTAGGCAAATTTCATAGCCTCAGTAAGATGTTCATAACTAAGATTCTACAGAAGGCTCATGTTAGAAGGCTGTTTTGATTAACTATTTTTTTCAAGTTTTTAAAGTTTGGCTGTCTGAAATATGCCTCAAATATGACAATGAATCCTGCAAAATGTATGTCTTTAGTACCAAAACCATCAATCCATCACTGAAAGAATGGAGAGCAGTTGGTGGTTAAAACAAGAACTAGACACTCCCTTCCACTCTTCCTTCACAACTCATTTCCAGCTGCTAACAAAGCTGGTCATGGTCTAGTATCTTTTGAAGGGATATGGAGCACTTAGTTTCTCCTGGAACAATGGTAGGGTATTAGTTTTTACTGAATGAGTTTCAAAATCATGTACATTTTTCTTTGATTTTAGGGCACAAGATGGAGAACCAAGCCAAGCCAAAGAGGCCCCACAGAAGCAAGGCTCTCCGCATCAGGAGTGGTTTACCAAGTACTTTTCATTCTAAACTAGTCCTTGGGATCTGTTCCAAGGAGTACATTGGGATCATTTCAACCATCTGAAGGAGTGAATTAAAATCACCCAACCTGGTAACTATCTGATAGTGACTTACATGTGATAGATAGCTAAACAAAGTGTGGCACTAACATTCCAGTTTCATTGTGACACCTGCCTCATTTACAGTTCTTATAGTTAAGGCTGAAACAAGCCGGTTATTCAAAAGTATCCCTTGGAAAATGCTATTAATCTCTGATGACCAAATTACCCATTGTATTTCTAGTGCTTGTAATGTCACACTCCACTTGGTAGAATATCAGACTTTGACTGCCATATTCTGCTTCAAAAGTATTCTCATTTTTTCTTGGTCATCTCCACTCAAATAATTATGCTATATAGTTCCACATATATAAAACGATAATTTGAAAAGGCACATCTAACCTCAGTATGAAGAGGAATAAAACAAAGCCAATGAAGAAAAAACAAACTAAAAGCATCAAACCTACCAGGAATGGACTGCAGCATGCTTAGACTGCATGTTTTGACCTCCAAGGTCTAGCATGGGCCGCAAACTTCAGAGGGACAACATCTACCTCAAAAGGGACTTTTCAAGATTAAGCAGCCTGAACTAGAATGCTCAGTGAACAACCTTGCTTCACCTGCCACACATCTCAGCTTCAGTGACCATTGTGCAACAGTCTTTTGTGAAGGATTCTAGACTGTCTGTTCTCTATGTCAGACTTTGCTGGACCCCTGTCCTTTGCATCTGGATCTCCTGCCTCAGTTATATGACTTCCCCACTGCATGGACTCCCAGGAGAGCAGGGAACTGCCCATGGTGCTGAACTTGCACTCTGTCTTAACCCTCTGACAGAGCAGATCTGACACCACTTTTAGTGGGTAGATTTTTTTTTTCTCTCTGGTGCTGGCCCAGCAAGTGGCTTATCAACAGATGTCAATTCTATGCATTGTCAAATATTTGCTCTTTCAATAAAATTCTAAACTGGGCAATATAAATGACTAAGCCTTGTATAATTAGATGAAGACAGAGCTTTGAAACAAATTTTACATTAAGTTCAGATTGTCTACAAATAAAATGTAGATAATTAGATCATATTTTTTAAAAATGTAAGTAAAATGAGTTAAAAAGCAAAACAAGACTATGTTTTTTTTTCAGTGTTAGAATTTGAGCACAGGGTCTTTCTTGCCTCTGGTTAGGGAAGTGTTACACTACTGACCTACACTGTCAGTCCTGCTATAGATTTTTGAATACAAACATTTGAAATGTCATATTACTTTTCAGTGCTAACTTTTTGTCCTTCCTGCTCAGGATGAGTGTCTAACATAACTTAAAGACACTGCACTGTTGGGCTGCTATGCTAAAATTTTCAAGATGGGGTAAATTTACAGACAACAGAGATATATTACTTGAGGGCTAAGAATACCATGAAGGTGCTAACTGTGAGAAACCTATGAATCTCCATTATGGGACCTCGTGGTTTAAGTCTCTTTATAAGGGTCCCCGTCCCTTTGGTGAGCACACAGCTTCCAGTGCTTCAACACCCCCCATCTTCACCTCCTAGTACTACAGGCTAAGTGTTTTCTATCCCAACACTTGGGACCAGAAGTGCTTTAGAGTGGTGTAGCACATGGTTAGCATGTGCTAGACCCTGAGTTCAGTCCCCACTATGATAGAAAAAACAGTGAGGTTTTGTATATTTTCAGACTCATGCACATACACAAGTTATATTAAGAATGTGACCCAAATATAAACATGATGATCCCTACATATCCAACCTAGCTTTAGTGCATCTTCATTTTAACCCAATAGTATGTGGAAGTTTCCACTTACTGTGTCAGGTCAGTGCTGGGAAAGTTTAGATTTGGGAACTTTTTGGATTAGGAAATGCCCACTCTGTTCCCACTAAGTATTAAGTTCCAGTATTTGATGATTAGCAGTGAGCACTGTGTTTTTATTGAGGACCTTAATAAAGTAGCTACAGACGGTTCGGCTTTTTTGTTCTGGGCATTTTCCCAGCACTGTAACCTTTGGTAAGGAGCAGCATTGACTGCTTTTCTACTGCCCAGTGTATTATCCTTTTGATTCTGAGACCAAATGCCTGACAAAGGGAATTAGAAAATATGTATCGTTTAGGTTTGGATAGTTCAGTCCACCACTGCATGTTAGGTGTGGGGACAGGCCTGAGCTGGTCACACTGTATCCAGATGGGAAGCAGAGAGCAAAGAATCCTCATGGCCAGCTCACTTTCTCCTTTATTCAGTACTGGATCCCAGCCCATGGAATGGTGATGCCCACATACCTCAATCTGCATAATCTAGAAACTTCCTCTCAGATATACCAAGAGGTCTAGAGGCTGTCAAGGTGAAAACAGCCACCAAATGGGGTAAAGGTGGCAGTCATTCAATCTAACATGATATCTGGTAGTTTGAATGATGTGGTGACTTTATTTTGGACTGTAAATGTACCCAACGATCATAAAAGTAATTTATCTGTTTGTTATCATTTCAAGGTGAGTGACCTTTGGCCGTCTGAGCCTGTTTTCCTCAGCAGAATAACAAGGCAAGCTCTGCTGAGTGCTTTCATTTTCAGGTCTGTGCTGTCTGGATAAGGAGAGTTCAGAAGCCTGGACTAGGGTGACTGATACTGCTCCTGAGCTGGTTGCCCACTAAAGGAGTCCAGGAATGACCCTGACAGTAGCAGCCATGCTTGGCAGGCTAATACCCAAGATGGGCACATCCAAGGTTAGTTTCTGTAATTGTGTTTCATGTAACAGTGCTCTTGAAAGCAAAACGAGTGAGGGCCTTCAGGGTAGGGACCCAACTCTCAGGAATGTCATATAAGTAGTTGGATAAAGAAGCACAGAGAAAAAGGAAGATATGTTTCAGAGCTAAGTTCATGCACACAAGATAAGGAAGTGAGTGTCCATCTCATTTGTGGCCAAAGATGATCACAAGGACAATTGTAGGAGGGACAAACCGTTGTGGAGGAAGTAGAGCTGGAGACTGAATAAGGAACCAGGGAAGATCAAGAGAAATATTTAAGACAGAATTTGAGTGAGCTACAGGAAAGGGGCCAAGGACAGATTGTACAAGGGGCAGAATCACCACAGTGGTTAACCCTAGAGAAAGCAACTGGCCTGGGACCCATACAACATGTGGAAAGGCAGGTCTTTCTTACTCAGGTAGGCAACTGAAACAAAAAGGGTTTGGAAAAAATCTTCCATGAATCCGTTGGGTTACATGGGGGAGCAGCAAGCCAAGGGAAATCCCTGGGAGACATGCAGTTTGGAGTTTCTGTGTTCATTCACCAACTGGTAAGCTGCCATGTGTAAGAAGAAAGATGGCTGGAGAGATGGCTTAGAGGTTAAAAGCACTGGCTGCTCTTCCAGAGGTCCCAAGTTCAATTCCCAGCATCCACATGATGGCCCAAAATCATCTATAAATGAGATCTGGTGCCCTCTTCTGGCATACAGGCAGAAAACTGTACACATAATGAATGAAAAAAATAATAATAAATCTGAACAAAAGAAAAAGATGGATGGATGGAGCTGGTGACATAGTTCAGTAAGTAACTTTTGTGCAAGTTGAAGACCTGAGCTCAGATCTGCTGTACCAGAATTAAAAGCCCAGCAAAGTAGCTGGAAAGTAAGAGAGGCAGGAGGATCACTGAGGCTTCCCAGCCAAATAGTCTTGTCCAGTAAAGTAAGCCCCATATTCATTGAGAAACTATGTATCAAAGTGAGGTGGAAAGAGACATGGATCTCTGACTTGCACAAAAAATTCATGTTCCCTTCCCCTAAACAAGCTCACAGATACACTATATACAGAAAGGATGCTGACAAATTGACAAAATGGGAAAATCATTTTACCTGTTGAACTCAATAAAAAAGCAACAATAACTTGTATATATATATATATATATATATATATATATATACTAACTTAAAATACCTATATTGATTTCACCATCACCTTTTATTATTGAAAAACAAACCAAAATATAAAGTTTATTTAGGTTTTAGCCAAGAAATCCACAAAATGTAAAGCTGACAGTGCTTCATCAGGTGGGTGTTTTTTGGTTTTGTTTTTGGCAGGGGTTTGTGAGACAGGATCTCATGTAGCCTACAACAGCCTAAAATTTGCTATGCAGCTGAAGATGGCATTCAGCTCTGATCCTCCTTCCTCTACCTCCCAAATGCTAGATTACAAACATGCCTCCATGCCCACCCTACATTTAACATTGTTTAACTTACACATTCTAATTAAGGGGACTTGATGGCCTCAGGCTGGTTCTCATTGGTCCATGTACTAAATATCATACAACCAAGCACATACATGAAAATAGTAAAATAATGCATAATCAAGGAAATGCCTAATTCTCATGGGCATACATACTATAGCGCAAGTAACAGAGACAGCCACAATTCATAATGCCTAATGGAGAACCAAGAAAGGGAGGGAGGGAGGGAAGGAGGGAGGGGAGGAAGGAAGGAAGGAAGAAAGGAAGGAAGGAAGGAAGGAAGGAAGGAAGGAAGGAAGGAAGGAAGGAAGGAAGGAAGGAAAAGCTAAGCCCTGGGATGCAGGGAAGGTGCATCAGAAACTTCACAGACCAGATGATTGTGCCCAGGTGAGGCAGATGTAAAGAAACCAAAATGGACAAGACCAAAACCAAGCTGGAGATGCACTAACTGTTCAAGAAGTATGGAATGTTTTGTTTTGGGTAAAGAGAGGTACTCTGCTCTAAAATAAAGTAAGTAGCAAGCATATAAAACTCAGAGAGAATCCAAGGCCGCTATGGCCCTCAGATCTCACCTGTGCCTTCCTGGGACTCCATTCCTTACCCTGCACAGCATGAATGCTCTCAGCACATGTGCCCGATATGCGTGCCTTCAAGACAGTGAAGGACCCAGAAAACGGAGCTTACCCCAGATAAAATTCCAACATTAAGGCAAGCATCCTCCTGTAACACTACACTGACAGCTTATTTCAGCCTCTTCTGAGCCAACTGCAAATACGCTCACCCTGTGCCATTCTGGAAGCACAGCATTGCTGAGTCAGATTCCTTGTGAGGTAGTTCAAAAATTTTCAAACAGCAAATTCACAGATTTGCCTATACTACCATGGATGATTACAGCTGACACCAAACTCTATGTCCTCTGCCATCTCAAACTATTAAAAAATCTTTTCCTTCAGTTTTTACCAAATTTACAACTAAAAAACCCCAAAGAGATGAAGGCGCAAAAATGACAAAATGTCAAAACCAATGGCAAAGGTCAAGTAAGAATGTGTGTGATCACCCTCACAGTCCAAACCTCCCTAAAGAGCTAAAAAACAAACAAACAAACAAACATATACTTGGTTTATCAAAGCTTCAGATATCTTATAAAGTTATAAGGTACTCTAGGGATTTAGGGAACAAAAGAGGCTGAGGCAGGGGAATCACAAGTTCAAGGTCAGCCAGAGCTTCATATTTCACTCCGACCGTATAAACAACTAACACCGAGGCATTATCAATGGAGTTCTTCCATAGGCCATGCCTTTAAGGAAAGTGTCCGGCAGGACTACAGGCTGCGTCCCAGGCCAGAGTGCTCTTAGGTCGGCTTTAGAGGTGCAGGGATATTGGCAGATGCCTGCTCCAGGTAGGCCAAGGAGCCCTGAGGGATTTCAGCTGGCTTCTTATGCTGCACACTGATGTCCTCCAGCACCTGCTGCCAGTGCCTCAACTTTGTCAAGTGCTTCTGGACCAGCGCATCTTTCCGCTGCAGTTCGCTCCTTAGCTCTGAGACGTCCTACAGATGACAGTGGGGGAGGAGGGGAGAAGAAAGTGACGAGGTTAGAGGTTACTGGTAATAAACAAGAGTAAATGAACAAAGCTCTTCCTTAGTCAGGAGCACTAAGAATGACCCTGGTGGCACAGGCTTGAAACCCCAGCCACTTGGGAGGCTGGGGCAGGATCATGAAGTTTAAGGTCAGAGTGAGTTCAAGACTAGCTCAGGTAACTCAGGGAGACACTGTCTCAAAACAAAAAGAGGGGTGGAGATACAGTTCAACTGAAGAGCACTTGCCTAGAAACGCTGAAATGGCACCAAAGACACAGAAAAGCAACACTAAGAAGCCAACTTAAAACCAAGAAAATCCAAAGCCTTTAGAGCCCATCACTCTGCTGCTCTATCTGAATCAGGCAGAGCAAATCTTTTTGTTTGCTTTTGTTTTTTGAGACAGGGCTTCTCTGTGTAGCCCTGGCTGCCCTGGAACTTGCTCTTTAGACCAGTCTGGCCTCAAACTCACAGAGATCCGATCTGCCTTCCTCTGCCTCCCATGTGCTGGGATTAAAGGTGTGCACCACCATTGCCCAGCAAAAGCAACTCTTCCAATGAGGGATGTCTGCCTAACAACAAGAATTTTAATATTTAATGTTTTTTTAATAAGTAAAAGCACAAGTCTTAAGATTAAAAAAAACTCAGAATCTCAAAAACCATTGCTGAAAAATACCAAACACTAAAAATACGAAACAGGTGTTAACAACTGTCTAAAGAATCCACATTACTGCTCTATAATTTCAGATTATTCAGTGTTAAAACAGTATATCTTTTTCAAAAGCTTATTATGAGCAGTGGTGGCATATGCTTTATTAAAATTTGGCTTTGGGTCTAGAGAGATGGCACAGTGGTTAAGAGCACTTGTTGCTCTTGCAGAGGACCTGGGTTTAGTTCTCGGCACCTACAAGGCAGCCCACAATCATCTTCAATTCTAGTTCCAGAGGATCCAATGCACTCTTCTAGCTTCTATGGGAACTGCATCACATGGTGCACATACAAACATGAGGGCAAAACACTCATACACATAAAACAAAAAAAGCAAAACGCTTACATGCTAGCCTTAACCACTTCCACACATTATTCAAGTATTCATATCAAGAAGTGACCTATTACAACAGGTTGTAAGAACATAAACTTCTTATTCCTGTTATCAACAGCTGGTCTCATGGCTGAAAAGACCCTTTCTGATTAACTGGTCATTATTTCAAAAGCTGCCAAAATCCATCACTCTCAAATTTGCATTTCTCAGTGGCAGTATCACTGGCCTTGGGGCTGGCTGGAAGTTAGGGATCTTGTATACTGGGGTGTCAGGAATCATCTCACTTACCCAATAACATTAGAGCTTCCTAGTTCTTGTGGCAACTCATTTCCAAATATCTCAGTTTAAAGCAAATGAGACTAACTCACCCCTTTTAAGGAATTTTGGCTAGAATATTTACCCTCTTTATTTTTTTAAGAAACAGAATCTTACTATATAGCCCTGGCTGGCCTAAGAACTTGCTATGTAGGCCAGACTGTCTTTGAATTTACAGAGGTCTTCCTGCCTCTGCCTACTGAGAGCTGGGATTAAACACATGCACCACCACACCTGCTACAATATTTACATTTTGATTCCTTAATCGAAGCACATAGAATAATTCCTACATGCAAGGTACCAGATAAGGCAATTAGGGGACACAATTACAGTTTCTGTCAAAATTAACTTTTTATGTACACTGATGGTCTTCCAATTGCTTTCAGAAGGCAAAACCCACTCTTTACGAAAACTTTCCATGAAAACAGGGTGTGAAATAAGTAGGCAGAGCTGTGTGCAGTTCTGCTCCTTCGCCAGTGACTCCCCCATGTGTCCAGCTGTCAAACACCCTTAGCACTTCCCTGACCTTCAAAGACTTCCTACAACTCACAGGAACACAGTACATCTTGTTAAGATCTAGATACTTGTTCTCCCTAAAAAATGGAGGGAAGCCAATTTTGTACCTCTTTGATAACTTGATCTGGTTTCTGGACAGACAACTGCAACCTTTTTTGTAAGAAAAAACATTCTGTCTGTCTTGCAATGTCCAAAAACTTCTGGATACACTGATCAACACCTTTAAAAAAAGAGAGAGCAAAAGTTTTAAGGAAAGCACTAGATGTACACATCTCCCACTTAGATAAACAGGTAAAATACTAAAACAACACATTATCATAGACATCACATGTTGGGATTTTAATCTGGATGACAGCAACACAATCATCTTCAAGTTCTCATGCGTAACTAGTAGGAAATCAGAGATCTTACACAATACAGAAGTCGTCCCAAGAAACACAATCCATACACAGCAATTAGGATCATAATTTCTATTTAAAATGGAATATTCAAAACACAGCCAAAAGGCAATGGACACTGGAGGTGAGAGTACGCACAGCAGACTTACTCCTGTATCAGAGCTGTCAAAAGATCAATATAATTTGTGGGTTTTTAAATAAACAGCTCTCACTAGTTTTCTTTATGTACATGAGCAGCTCATTTTAAGTGGTTCATAATAACTCAGAAAACAGAACAGAGCAGCAGTTTATAGGGACCATCTACATCCATCTTACTCTCTGGGAAAGTTCTAGGATACATGGCATGCATGGCTAAACACACAAATATAAAATCAGCAATTGGAATCTTGCTGAAGAAAAAAACAATCTGCAAAGAGTGAAATCTTACCAGTTCGAATTTCCTCCTGATCAGTTCCATTGACATAATCCTGACTCACAAGGGAGGCAAAGCAAGCCTATGTGAGCAAAACATAAAAATGCTTTTTACACATCAAGTGATTACTTATGAGCAAGAAATAACCTCTCCTGGGGCCATTCAATGGGTGGATACTCTGAGTTTGTGCTGAGAAGACCTCAGACCAATGGAAACACTTGGGTAAAATAAATCTCAACTAGCTTGGCATCTGAGACTGCGGTATTTGCTGGCACTGTCATATGTTCTTATTCCTACTACCTGCTTTTTCTTCTCTTATTCCACACCTGGATTCCTTTCAATCCCATCCCAGCCACTGTGGCGGACCCTTACATGAAATATATCACTATCTCAAGATGTCATGTCTCCTCTTTCTAAATGGCCCCCCTCCTGCTCATGCTCTACAGTGAGCTTGTCATGCTTTTCACAGTGACACATTATCATCCATTCTTTCCAGCCACTATTATTTGTCTTCTACCAGCAGATCTGCCTGTGTGGTTCAGCCCTATATTCTAAATACTTGGAATACCACTTGGCACTTGCATAATAAGGAACAGATTTATCTGTGTATTAAATGTTGTCACATGGCTAATCAAGTCCTAAAAAAGGAGATCTCCTGAAAGGGTACCAACTGGGCTATACATGTGAGTTCCCCACAGAGGCACAAGCAGCCCCCAGAAAAGACAAAAAAGGTGGAAGAGAGCGTGGATGGCAGATGACTAATGAACATGGCTGTGAGGAAAGAGCCCTGCTAGCCATGAGCAAACATCCGTGTAGATCACTAAGATGATGAACCAAATTTAGGTTCTAGACTTAAGCCTTAACTATATGTGAGGTTCCTTTCAAGAATAATAAGGTTTTTTGTTTGTTTGTTTGTTTTTTGGTTTTTACGGGACAGGGTTTCTCTGTATTGTTTTCGAGGCTGTCAGTCCAGCCCAGCCTCGAACTCACAGCGATCCACCTGCCTCTGCCTTCCGAGTTTTGGGATTAAAGGCATGCGCCACCACCGCCCGGCTCAAGAGTAATAAGTTGCCGGGTGGTGGTGATACACGCCTTTAATCCTAGCACTTGAGAGGCAAGTGGATCTCTTTGAGTTCAAGACCAGCTTGGTCTACAAGAGCTAATTCCCAGGACAGTCTCCAAAGCCACAGAGAAACCCTGTCTTGAACACCCCCCTCCAAAAAAAGAGTAATACATACTGCCTGGCTGCATATTTGATGTATAGAAACAATGACAAGGATTTCCCACTCCTGCAACAGCTCAACAAATCAGAATGCCCGTTCTGTGTCGTGTAAAAGTTAACTTTTGGGGTGTGAGCTGGATGGGCACACTTCATGAGACCCATTGGCCCACAAAGCTTGGGTGGCTTCGCCAGAGTCAGTGAGCCATGCAGAATTAAAAATCTCAACTTCAAACTGGGCAGTGCATGGGAGGCAGAGGCAAAAGAAACCCTGTCTTGAAAAATCAAACAAAACTAACTTCTGAAACTTTAGTTTCCGGTGTACCTCCCTGCGCCCAATTATCCTTTGAAAAACATTTAAAGCACGGGCCTTTATTGACAGTCTTACAACGGAAAAAAATAATATACAAAGGCTAGTTTTTTTAGGGCTGGTGGGATGGCTACTCATGTAAAGATGTTTGCCACCAAACCTCAGTCCCATCCCTTGCACTCACATGATGGATGTAAAGAACTGACTTCTTCAAGTTGCTCCTTTGACCTCCACAAGCGCACCAATAACACAAATTAAATAAACACGATTTACTTTTTTTAAAGAATGTGCTTTTTACCTGGAAATGCTAGCTTTTACCTGGAAAGGCCGGAGTACTATAGTGTTCACTTACACAAACCCAAGGCCGACTTTGGACAAGTTACTTCTGGGTCTTAGTTTGTGCATCCACCGGGAGGGGGTGAACCCAAATGTTCTACCAAAGCTTCCTCCCACAGTAGGAGCTCAGTTTGTCCTAACAAAGAGCATCTACCAGACGACTGGAAAGCGAAAGCCAGAAACGTCAAGGGGTAGCACCCAAATAGAAAAGCTATCAGGTGAGCAGGTATCCGGGCCCACTAGAAGATCTAAAAAGAGAGAGAAACGGGAGAAGCGTAGACTATGTGACCTGAAAAGAAAACTCAGAGGAGCCCAGCCGAAAGGCTACGCTCCGGGGAAGCCCAGCTCTTGCTGGACCTGCAGAGGTAAAAGCCGGCTGGGAATGCAAAGAGCCCCGAGAGCACCGGTCACGGGCGGCGCCCAGCCTAAGGCAGTCGGCTTGGGCTCCGCGATCCCCGGCATCCGCGGGACGCTGGGACCACCGTGACAGCCTGAGTGAATGCTGCGCAGACACCCGCGACTCGGCTTACCTCGAAAGACGACTCCAGCTCGTCCACCAAAGTGCTGTTAGACGGCCTCGGAGCCCCCGGCGCTGCTTGCAGAAGCGAGGCCTGGCCCGGGAGCCCGGGCGGCGGTGGCGGGGGACCAGGGGGCTGCCCGGAGAACATACCGCCGAGAGACCCCGCCATGTCTGCAATGGCGCGGGGAAACGCCACGGGGCCTGCGTGCGCAGCAGGATCACGTGGCAGGCGTGGTCACGTGACGGAAGGAGCGCCTGTCCCGCCCACAGGAGACTGGAGACGCCTGAAACGCCCGGGTGTAGTCTGCACCGACTTAAGTTGTAGAGGCTTGAGCTGGTTTAAACCAGTCACGTGCCCAGACTGAACTCCCCTGAGGGTCTCCCCTCCACCGCCCGACCCCTGTGCTGTCCCTAAAGCCTTTCAGAGTTCAGACTATGAGAGAATCGTAATCCCAATCCATACTAAACCTCATATCACTATTGGGAAAGGTCTTGGGTCTTTCCCGCGGTCTCTTAATAAAACGAGGAGTCATCTATTCGTTACGCTGTGATTGAGGGCTTGCTATGTAGCAGATGCCCATCAGTCACTTATTCTAGCTGGGACAACACCAGTTCCCTCTAAATTCTGGCATAAGGTAAGCACAACGACTGACATTAAACTATCCATGCGCCTGACCCGGTTCTTACCATAGTATGGTAACATCAGAGAGATAGTCTACTGTGCTTATGTTTTAATAACTTGGTTTTAAGAAAGCAAATAAAGTTTTGTGTTTAATTTTGCAAAACTTAACTGATTCTTTCCAGTTAGGTACTGTTTAATAATCTAAAAGTAATAGTAAACATCCCAAATATATATAATTATTTGTAGAGATAAGTTCTAAGGAAAATGGTGCCTGTGAGAAGACAGCTAAGTGCTCTTTGGTAGGTGATTGAGGAGGGCCTCTCCAAAGAGATCTGAATTGGGATGAAAATTTAAATGGAAGAGCTTTCTAGATAAGAAGCACCTGAAGACATGCCCTGCTTGGGACCTCCAGGCAAGTAGGTTGCATCTGACCCCCAATTGACCACACTGTGGTGGACCCAAGGCAGATATAAGTTGAGCCTACAAAGATGTTCATCTTGAGTCTGAGGCTTTGCTGATTTGTCTCAGTCATACTCTGACCACATATGAAGAGGGGGTCTATGTATATGGAAGATAGATTCCATAAAATTGTTCACATTCATTCTGTCATTGTCTTGCAAAGAAAGAATCCTGTAGAGATTTCTGCTGAACAGCCACCTGCAACTTCAACAGATGTAACAAGTCCACCCCCTGAGTGTTGTTGGCCTTCCTATGTTGATGCCCATACACAAGCAATGTACCAAAGGATGGATCAAAGCTTTGTAGAACATACTTTTTCATGTTTCATGGAAGATAAAAACACAAAGACTGGCCGGGCGGTGGTGGCGCACGCCTTTAATCCCAGCACTCGGGAGGCAGAGGCAGGCGGATCTCTGTGCGTTCGAGGCCAGGCTGGACCGATAGCCTCCAAAACAATACAGAGAAACCCTGTCTCGTAAAAACAAAACAAAATAAATTAAATAAATAAATAAATAAATAAATTAAAAATTAAAAAAAACCACAAAGACTGGTCAGGTACTCTACACTAGCTTCCAGTCCATGCAAGCTCAAAAGAGCTCAGAGTATGAGAGAATCGTAATCCCAATCCATACTAAACCTCATATCACTTTTGGGAAACTATGCCACAGTCAGCAGTAGAACTGCAGAGGGTCCTGTGTCCAGAAAAACAGAATTCAAATAGAAGGATTTACAGTCTTATACATCTGCACTTAGAAACCAAGATCCATAATGGCTCTGTGTTTACCAAATGGGTATAGTCACATGTCAGTCCGTGGGTCTCCATGCAGTTGTTGGAGAACAAACTGGAGCAAAACCAGAAGCATTTGCAAGAGGCACAAGAAAAGAAAGACCTTTGTAAGAGCTGTCTTTCCTAGAATAAAGCAGAATAGAATAAAATACCTGAATAAAATTCATTAAACTAAATCAATTTTGAAGATGCATTACACAATTTCAAGATTTATAAAGCTGCAATAATCAAGGTACTGTGGTATGCACAGGAGAACACATATAAATCATTGGAACAGAAAAGAGAATCCAAGCCGGGCGTTTGTGGCACAGGCCTTTAATCCCAGCACTTGGGAGGCAGAGGCAGGCGGATTTCTGTGAGTTTGAGGCCAGCCTGGTCTACAGAGTGAGTTCCAGGACAGCCTCCAAAACAATACAGAGAAATCCTGTCTCAAAAAAAAAAAAAGAAAGAAAAGAGAATCTAGGAATAGCCCCACAATAATATGCTTGACTAATTTTGATAAAATGCAAAAGTGACTCAAGAAAAACAGGACAGTTACTTCAACAATTGAACATCCACAGGCCAATAAAATAAATTCTAAAACTACCTCAAAATGTATCATGGATTTAAATGTAAGAAAACATTTTTATTTAAATTAGAAACAAGCTTGTTTTACATGTAAATACCAGTTCCCTCTCCCTCCCCTCATCCCCTGCCCCCCTCCTGAACCCCTAACCCATCAACTCCCCAGGGAGGATGAGGCCTTCCATGGGGGAAACTTCAAAGTCTGTCACATCATTTGGAGCAGGGCCTAGGTCCTCCCCGTGTGTCTAGGCAGAGACAGTATCCCTCATTGTGAATTAGGCTCCCAAAGTCCATTCGTGTACTAGGGATAAATACTGATCCACTACCAAGAGGCCTGATAGATTGGCCAGACCTCCATACTAGCATCCACATTCAGGGCATCTAGAACAGTCCTATACTGGTTTCCCAGCTATCAGTCTGGGGTCCATGAGCAACCCCTTGTTCAGGTCAGCTGTTTCTGTGGGTTTCTCCAGCCTGGTCTTGACCCCTTTGCTCATCACTCCTCACTCTCTGCAACTGGATTCCAGAGTTCAGCTCAGTGCTTAGCTGTGGGTGTCTGCTTCTGCTTCCATCAGTTACTGGATGAAGGCTCTAGGATGGCATATAAGGTAGTCATCAATCTCATTATTGGAGAAGAGCATTTAAGGTAGCCTCTCCACTATTGCTTAGATTGTTAGTTGGGATCATTCTTGTAGATCTCTGAATATTTCCATAGAGCCAGATTTCTCTTTAAACCTAAAATGGCTCCCTCTTTTATGGTATCTCTTTTCTTGCTCTCCTCTATTCTTCTCCTGACTCAATCTTCCTGCTCCCTCATGTCCTCTCTTCTTCTCCCCTTCTCTTTCTCCTAACTCCCTTTCCTCTCCCTCCATGCTCCCAATTAGCTCAGGAGATCTTGTCCCTTTCCCCTTCTCCGGGGGACCATGTATGTCTCTCTTAGGGTCCTCCTTGTTTCCTACCTTCACTGGTGGTGTGGACTGTAGGCTGGTAATCCTTTACTCTATGTCTAAAATCCATAAATGAGTGAGTACATACCATTTTCGTCATTTTGTGACTGTGTTACCTCACTTAGGATGGTTTCTTCTAGTTCCATCCATTTGTCTGTGAATTTCAAGATTACACTGTTTTTTTTTTCCGCTGAGTAGTACTCCATTGTGTAAATGTACCACATTTTATTTATCCATTCTTCAGTTGAGGGGCATCTAGGCTGCTTCCAGGTTTGCCTATTACAAATAATGCTGTTATGAATATAGTTGAACATATGTCTTTGCTGTATGAATGTGCATTCTTTGGGTATATACTTAACAATGGAATTGCTGGATCTTGTGGTAGACTGATTCCCATTTTCCTAAGGAACCGCCATACTGATTTTCAAAGTGGCTGTACGAGTTTGCACTCCCACCAGCAGTGGAGGAGTGTTCTCCTTTCTCCACATCCTCTCCAGCATAAACTGTCATTGGTGATTTTAGCCATTCTGGCATGAGCAAGATGGTATCTCAGAGTTGTTTTGATTTGCATTTCCCTGTTGAGCTCTTTCTTATGTGTCTTTCAGCCATTTTAGACTCCTATATTGAGAATTCTCTATTAAGTCTATTAAGTTCTGTACCTAACTTTTGAATTGCATTATTTGGTGTTTTGGTGACTAGTTTCTTGAGTTGGTTGTATATTTTGGAAATCAGCCTTCTATCAGATGTGGGGTTGATGAATATCTTTTCCCATTCTGTGGGCTGCCATTTTGTCTTGTTGACTGTGTTCTTTGCCTTACAGAAGCTTCTCAGTTTCAAGAGGGCCCATTTCTTAATTATGGATCTCAGCGTCTGTACTACTGGTATTATGTTCAGGAAGCAGTCTTCTATGCCAATTCATTCGAGAGTACCTCCTACTTTCTCTTCTAAGAGGTTCAGTGTGACTGGATTTATGCTGAGGTTTTTGATCCATTTGGACTTAAGTTTTGTGCATGGCCATAGATATGGATCTATCTGCAGTCTTCTACACACCAGCATAAAGTTATGTCAGCACCATTTGTTGAAGATGCTTCCTTTTTTCCATTGTATAATTTTAGCTTCTTTGTCAAAATTCAGGTTTTTGTAGGTGAGTGGGTCCACATCAGGGTTTTCAATTAGATTCCATTGGCCTACCTCTCTATTTTTGTGCCATTACCAATACTTTAATAGAACTTAAAGTCAGGGATGCTGATGCCTCCAGAAGTTCCTTTACTGTACAGGGTTGTTTTGGTTATCCTGGGTCTTTTGTTTTTTCATATAAAGTTGAGTATTGTTCTTTCAAGGTCTGTGAAGAATTGTACTAGGATTTTGATGGGTATTGCATTGAATCTGTAAATTTCTTTTGGCAATATTGCCATTTTTACTATGTTGATCCTACCTATCCAAGAGCATGGGAGGCCAGGCATTGGTGGCGCACACCTTTAATCCCAGCACTTGGGAGGCAGAGGCAGGTGAATCTCTGTGAGTTTGAGACCAGTCTGGTCTACAGAGCAAGTTCAAGGACAGGCTCCAAAACATTACAGAGAAACCCTGTCTTGAAAAAACAAAACAAAACAAGACAAAAAAAAGAGCATGGGAGATCATTCCATTTCTGGTGTCTTCTTTAATTTCTTTCTTTAAAGACTCAAAGTTCTTGTAATACAGGTCTTTCACTTGTTTGGTTAGCGTTACCCCAAAGTATTTTATGTCTGTGGCAATTTTAAAGGGTGATGTTTCTCTGATTCATATCTCAGCCCATTTATCGTCTGTATATAATAGGGCTACTGATTTTCTTG